CAGAATATCCAAGAACTGGCCCTCCGTACTAACCTCTCCACTACCGTATTTCCAATTGTTTTTATTCATATCTCAACAATCATCTTAGCACTGCAATATTTTTAACATGTTTTTTACGGAAAAAATTGAAAAACTCAAGCGTTTTGTCTCCAGGAACCCTTTTTCTTCCATGTCTAAATTTCTTTATACCTCAAAAAATTATTTATCATTATTATTGGTTTAGTTTCATTTGAAACATAAGATTTACAAATAAAAGCGCTTACCTAGTTTGCCTTTCTGTTGAGCCTTCAACTATAACTGGACCTGAAACAAATACAAAAATATTTTGAAATTGCCTCTCAAAGTAAAGCTATCAAAATGAACGAAACATTTTTTGGAGTTTGAAACATGTGAAATATATCACTCCGATTCTTTGAAGCACCATGCATTTCTTGCTGATTGTTATTTTTACAGTTTGCTCCAGAAAAGTTTAGTCTATACAACTGGAAACAAAACCCACCTAGTTCTGCTAATTTTTCCATCTCAACTGGACCCTGGATCTGAAACAAATAGAAACATATTTTTGAATCCGACATTTTTTTCGAAATATAGGACTTGAATCAAAATGTTTGAAAAATATAGGAAAAAATCAAGTTTCTTGTACCGGTTTTTAAATTGTACCATGTCAATATTTACCGACTTTTAGATTTCTAACGACAGCTGGTTAGCCTGTTTTTTGCCTTGTGGCATCAAAACAAATCTCTTCCTTTGTCGGAATGTAAAAATCAGCAAATGACAAAAACTAGATATTCAATGCTCTTTCAAAAATAGTATAGCATTTGTAGGTTCCTTTTACTAAAAACTGAATAATTCCAAGTCTTGTCATTGAAGTAATACATGCAAAATACTACAAATAAAAAATAATGTTTTTAAAAGAGCATTAAATAGGATAATTTTTAAGATTATTTGCCGATTCAATCTGGTAGATTTCTTTTCACAGTAATTAGTCAAACTTTAGTAAAGGTTTTCACATTGAAACAAAATGTTAGACTTTTTCTTAGCATGATAGCTTTCAATGAACTCAACCAACTATTAATGGTAGTCCAGGAGAAAAAAATCATAAGTTAGAAAATCTATATACCCATAATAAGTAAAAAAGGAGCAAAAAGAGAGAGTTTTTAAAAGTGGCAATATCTCAAAAACTTTTACTAAGGTCATGTTGATTTTATCTGATTAATCTGAAGCCAATCTACCTCCCGTGTCACTGTGGCGTGTTATTTCTGGGACATCCTATATTACACAAGTACTACAAACTCCCTAAGCAAGTAAAAACCCACTTAACCACCACACGTTGCCTTATGATATAAAGAAACTTCACGAACGCACAAAAGACGCGTTCAGAAAACCAATGTTAACAGCTACTACATCGTTGAATTCGTAGAAAAAGGTTCTATCAGATGGGTGTTTTTTTTTTCGGACCATATAAAAAAATAAAGTTGATGATGGTTTCCAAAAGCGAAATGCCGGGCACAAAATTTAAAAACAGCATCATTTAGTGCCTAAAAAGTTTCATTTGTTTTTTGATATTTCTTGAAATAAAAGAAAAGAATAAAAACGATATGGCCAAAGCTTAGTTTTTCCCAAATACCCCAATAAGCCATGAAATTTTTACAAGTTTCTCAACAGCACAACATGAACTACAACTATACAATTTTTCATTAAAATTAACCGGGTTGTCCATATGCGTTGTGCCTGATACTTTGGTTTAGGAATGCTCCTACATCTGAGCCGAGTGGATTTGATTGGCGTGGTATTGTGGCGCCATCGTCCATGTTCTTTCTCTATTTAATTAATGAAAATGAGTGAATCTGACCTGCATTTATTTATTTTTCATTGTAGTCTATTCATTTTTTTTTGTAAAAATTCGGCACTTAAAAAATGATTGACACTTGTCCCCCACGCGTCCAACAACGTCACACGTAACCACGCGCCTAACGCAGGGTTAACTTGCACACTGTTGATTCAAAAAATAATATATACACACAAGTGATACAAACTCCCTAAGCAAGTAAAAACGTAGTTACCATCACACTTTGCCTCATGATATAAACTTCACAAGCGGCACAAAAGACGCGTGGCGTGGCGCGATTTGGTAGTACTGACCTACCGCCGACGCGCTACCCCGAGAACTGAAGCCGCGCAGTACCTTGCCGCAGGATCACCCCTCCTTTCCCCTCACATCTCCTCCTCTCCCTACCGCTTGGCTAGAGTCGTACTGTTTACGTTGTTTTTTATACATGTACGTAGATTTTTATTGCACAACCGAATCGGTATTTCTGAATATCATATACAGGGCGTTCGGAGCATTCTAATAATGAAATAATAAAAATTACTAAAATATGTATGTTTATTTGGACATAGGATGGGCATACATTCTAGGACTATTAGTAGTGGAAAGATAGGAATCTGTCATTGCAAAGACTTTGCGAGTCCCACATTTTGAATTTTTCGTTATACAATACAAATTGTATCACCGACAAAAAACCAGTTTTAATGTACTTTATGGGCTCAATATAGTATTCAAGATCTGAAAGATTGAAATTTCGAATATCCATTACAGTTTATTAATAATAAGGGAAAACGATCGAAAAACTGTTATAGACTTACGTTGTTTTGTCAGGAAATAGGGTTAGTGGCATATAACTTAGGCGAAGAAAATATCATATTTTTCATTGGTTATCATTGAGAATTACACTTGAATAGTGACTTATTAAAATGCCAAATATTTTAATTGTTGCATGTTTGAATATTTTTAAGATACATAGGAGAAGTCCGGAAAACTTAGGAAAATCGAATTTCCCGTTTTACCAAAAACTGACTATAGTTTTGAAACTAAGCAGCAGTTGCGAGAATGTGTAATGGAAGCATTTAGTATGATTACAGATATGTTACGTGATGTTTTGAATCCTAAAAATCATATATATTGATGTGTAGAAAATATGGCAACCTATTTATAATAATAGTAATAATAACGTCTTTATTAATTAACCAAGAGATACATAAACAGCGAAGTTTAGCCAAGGCTACTCTTAACTGTTTGTGTTGGTTACATCAGATATTCAGAACAATAAAGAAAGTAATAACAAACACATATACCTAACTAAGAAAAAAAAAACACATTTTGCATCTGTAGTAAGTATAGAACTTGTTTAACCAACAGCGAGCAAATTCTTTTTGAGCGATTGTGGTTCTGTCTGGTCTGGAGTGAATATGGAAAAATTTGAATGGGAATTCTGTCACTTTTATGTCAGTCAAGGCCAATCAAAACCAGAAACGCTCAAAAAGAATTTGCTGAAGCAATGCAAAACTGTCACTTTTTGTCCTTGGTCCGCGATAGATACTCGTGAAAAATACTGTAAATGGGAGGCTGTAGATTTACAGTTTTTTTTAAATAATGTTCTACAGTTATAGTCCTTTCACTGAAACAAAGCAGTTACTTCTTTTTTAGTAAAATTGAACATCTACCTTAAGGCAAATAGATCTTAAATTGGTACGTATACCTTGAATTTCCCGGGTACATTTTATGTTGTTTTCTGTGTTGCAACATTGTCGCAAAGCTAATTAAGTAGTAGGTAGTAGGTAATTAAGCAAGCTAATTTCTTCTAAAGTATATTCAGATAAGAGATAGACCGGACATAAACAAGACCACGTGATCATCGAACGCTGTAACATTCGTAACATTGTAGTCATCTTGCCGACTATGTAGTTTTTAGTGTGCAAGTAGTTCATTCCACGTTTGCTCGCTATGATGGCTGTTCGCTGACGTTTAAGCAAAGGGATGCGTGCGTACAGTTACAAAACGCGTTCACAACAAGTGGTACGACATGGGTACAACAGCTTACGCTAAGGCTAAGTTAACGTCCTGTGGAAAAACCGACGTTATCCCGCAAAAAACTACGAAATGTAAAAAAAACAGACAAAATGTCACTTTTTAAGATACGTAATTCCCGTGCGGGAATGGTGAGTCGTGAGTCACGTTGGGCTAATGACAAAAATAGTATATAGACTAAGCTCTAATATATTTCAACAGTTGAAAAAGAACGAAACCTGTGAGTCCCAGACAGACCGGGTTCAAAAACGAACGCACCCACTATCGTCAATCGTAAATTGTAGGGTTCCATGTCAAGTTGTCAAGGCTTACGTATCAGGTATATTCTTTAATTCACCGGTTGATTCCATCACTGATGGATCCGGTGAATTCATGGTTGACAGCTGATGTGATGACGTCAGCAACCGGTTCCGTTGAATGGTCGTTAATAAAAAGACGCATTTCTAGCCTTCAGGTTGCTATCATATGAGAAAACCTAACCTTTGTTTTATCGTAAATGGATACTTGTTAATTTGAACACCGTATCATTTAAAATCATTATGGAAATGTACGCAGCAGTTGATATTGTCGTGGAACGTTTGTTAACCGATTCGAGTGATGATTCTGATGAAGATTATCCAGCGGAGAGAATTTGCGCTCCGAGAATCAATATAAGAACTATAAATCAGAAAACCAAGAAATTTTCAGATATCGACGATCTCAAATCAATACGAGGCATTGATTTGAGATCGTCGATGCTTCCCATATAAGAACCATCGATATGGATTTTCTGAGAGCATTCCTGTATTCATACAGGAATAAAAACATAACAAAATCAGAAAATCGACATTTTCGGACTTACGAGGTATTGATTTGAGATCGTCGATATGCATAATTCAAAACAAATTGACTAGCTTTCAGATGCTCTGTTTATTTCAAATTGTGTCGAAAAGAAAACATTAAATTTCACTCGACTCCTATGCTGCTAACTTCAATCTTTTCTTCTTCCATTTTTTCACACAAAACTGTAGTTGTAAAAAACTGATAAAATGTAGATATAATATATGATATGTAAATATCGTGGATCAACCGAGCCCGAACGTCGGTGGATGCTGTTGGCACCGGTGGCATATCCACCATCAATATAGAGACAAGTTTGATGTACAACCGGTCATTCCAGCGGAAATTAAAGGACGCAAACTTGGCTAACCGGTTGCACCGGTAGCTCAACCGGTGAATTAAAGAATATACCAGATGTCGTGGTCATGGTACTGTTGACCCTTTTGACAGTTCGCATGTCTGCATGTCATTCAATTGTAAATTGATGTAAACCTTGAGATGATGATTCATAAGTATTTAAAGTATTTCTGAATAATCGGAATTCTTTATTATTGATTTGTTATTGAAAGTGAGAGATGTTTGTAGCAGCAAATAAGTTATAATGTTTTTTAAAACTTTCACAGTTCCAGATAATATGGATATTACACATCAAAAAGTGATCTTAGAGCGCCGGTAGCTGTTTTTTTCCTCTCCTTGCATTCAAGATGATCTGATTTAAAAAAAAATACCTAAGGTTGAGGGATGGCGAATAAACAGTCATCATCTTCAAATATGTCGCAGATTGGTCGAACGCCCTTAAAAAACAAGCTGGATCCTCAAGAACGCTTAAAACAGTTGATTGACTACAGCAATCAAGTTGATGTAGATCCCAATGTAGCTCCTAAGAGGTACGTCTCTCATTCTGCTTAATAAAGGCTAAAGAGTTGAATTTTATGATCTTCAAGGTCTACCTTAACCTTGTTATGCTTATGATAATAGATTATGATTATGACAAGTTGTAAATGCTGCATTCATAAAATGCAGATTTCAACTCTTATGTTATGACTATTAAAATGGTGTATAAACCTGGCATCATTTATCTGTTAAACTGCATAATTCTTCAGCAATTCAATAACATTTAACATCATCTGATATATTTAAATGAATACAGCTTAAGAGAACATTACTATATGTTCACCAATAATAGATTCATTATGCTACTTGCAATCATTCCAGAGGTATTAAGGAGGAAATAGTTAACCCCTTCAAGCATTAAGCCAACCTGAGCCCCCTTTTAGCACATACATATTTCTTATTACTATATAAGGAGTAACAAATTGCGGACATTCAGAACTTGCAGATTTTATCAAATTAAGAGCAACAGGTAGACTAGCAATCATAATTAATTTTTTTGATATATTTCCATAAATTTCAGTTAGTTTTGGCAATCTAGGAGAAATTATAGATAATATCATGAGGAAAATTGTTAGGGGACATAATGAAAATGTGTCAACAGAGGCTCTTTAGAAGAATATGGGGCATTTTAGAAAAAAGACCTGCTTCTATTTTTTATTTGCTAAAGATGGGATAAAATATCTTCTTTTCATATAGATATTTTACTGCCTGTTTAACACAACTCTGCTGCTTTTTTAAACTCTAAAATAAAATATATTTTGTTTAATTCTCATTTGTTTGTCACTGACTTGTAATCTCTTGAAAAATATGACATGTTAAAGAAGGATAATCAGATCCAAATGGAAATATCTTGAATTTTTATTTTTGTTGTATTTTTTTTTTGTTTTATAATATATTAAGAAGGTACTTTTGTTTTATGGTAATGGCAAAATAGAGAATTTTTAAAATAAGTTTTACATTTATACTATTAGAAATCTGGAAAGTTTGTCAGTATACTATCTATTTGAAACAATTAACCTTTGAAATGTAACAGGGGGAGATGGAGGTAAATAATTTTAATTTTTAGAATAAAAACACTGGTTATTCTTTATAATTATAAGATATGCTCAGATATACAGAAGTTTGACAAAACATGGTTATAAGGTGTTAGGTTCGAGTCAATGAAAATACATATTATGGGTCAACTGAAGAATGTTGTTAATTTGAAGGAATTATAAAATTTATTTCATATATCTTTACCTTATCTGAAAAAATAATGTTTGAGGAAGATAATCCTTTATTATGATAATTTTTATGTATTAATGCGAGGTATCTGGGAACCTTGTGGCAAAAAAGAACCTAAGAAATATTATCAATCTTGAATCTAAAACAGTGATGTTTCTGTGAATTCCGCTACATTAACCCTCCATCGCTCGCGCCTCATTCTATTACACCATCGCTCGTATGCTAGATTTTATCTGACATTCAGATGTTCAATAAAAAAGCTATTTTTACTTAAATTAAATGTTTATATTGTCAAGTATACTATTAAGCTATACATTAGTGAAAAATTATTGTTATAAACTAAAACAAAAATACTAACCAAACACTGAAAATTCTTAATCTAAAATTTCTGAACTGAAGGTTTCTTCTTCTGATGTTTCATTCTGGAATCCTCTAAAGCTGAAGGAAACCCTAAAAAAATAAATGCAGGGTATATATTGAAAGCGTTTACAGAAATGCTTTACAAAATACTTACGCACTTTAAACATTCTCGTTACGACCATAGCATTCACGACAGGTCAATGAAGTTATTGCTGTATGTTCCTTGCATATCGGTGATCTACAGATTGAACAATTACTCCGACTGAACCAGTTTTTTCTCAATGGACAGAATTCACATTTCACTTTGGCTTGAGTGGCTTGGTCTCTATTTGGGGTTGGTCTTTCTCCAGTTATGTTTCTAATCTTTTGACTAAGTAGATAAGGCAGACTTGGAATCTGAGAATGTCTGTACAGGTGAGGCATGACAAGCAATTTACTAAGTTCCGATATAAATTGTCTTCTGGTAATAATATTGTTTGTATTTTCTCGACAGATTATTTGGCTGTTGATGGTTGATATATTCAGAAGCCCACAGAATACGGTATATGGCCATCTATTGTTGAATCGTGCTGTTGAATATTCAGATTTTATTTTGTCGACCACATCTACGCCTCCTTTCGTAAGATTATAGTCTGTAATAACTTCGGGCTTGAAAGCATCTCCAGTGTCATCGTCGATCTTACCATGAACATGCAGGGTTGATAATAACAGCACGTTTTTGTTTCGCTTTGGTACATATAAAACAAGAAGGCACTTATTGAGGTTTTCATCCGAGTATTCACCATATGCAAACAGGCTGCTTTTTACTAGTCTATTTTTCACATCTAGAAGCTCGCGAGGAATTTGAGGCTTATTTTTGCGCATTGTTCCTATTGTAGTTAGTCGATGGTTTACTAATAAGCTATTAGCCAATGGCACTGAGGTGAAATAATTGTCAGTAGTTACATTTCTTCCTGTACCACTAATTGGCTCTATAAGTCGCAATACAACACTCGCTGCGTCATTTTTTAGTTGAAATGGTCCCTCTGGTTGTTTACCCGCGTAGATTTCAAGATTTGATGTTAAAAATGTTCTGGCGTCTACTAATCCATAGATCTTTATGCCGTATTTGGCGGGCTTGTTGGCTATGTATTGTCTAAATCGGCATCTGCCCCGAAATGCCTCCAACATTTCGTCAATTGTTACGTAAAATCCCGGAGAATAAGCTTGTTTACAATTTGTTACGAATGTTTCAAAAAATTTGCGAATCGGAGTTAGATTATCAATTTTACAAGTCTCATGTCGTTTGGTGCGATCATCAAATCTAATAGATTGAATCAACTGACCTTTCTTTGGTCATAGTAGCGATAAAGAAGTCAGGTGCTGTACCATCGGTTTTCCACATTTCTTCAGTGTTGAGGTGTTGGGCTTTCTTTACGTCAACCATATAAAGGATTCCAGTAAATGCTAGCATTTCGTCATAGTCAGTTGGAGGACAGTCTCGGGGGTGCTGATAAGATTCTCTCATCAAACCTAACTTCAGATTTGCATATTTTACAATATCATTTATCATCGTATCTGTAACAAACTATAATGGTTTTTGCATTTTTTGCATAACTTTTTACTCCAGGCAGTTTTGTAACAAGATTATGGGCTTTTGTCTTGCCTTTGGGTGCAGGTGGTTTTTGTTTGAACCAAGGTGTTTTATCTTTTCCGTAAAATTTAGGTATACCATCAATCAAGATCTCTGGAGATACAGGAAATATCCCAACTGTTTCATCTCCAGACTGTTCTGTATCTGTGTTATACTCATTATGCTCTGAAGGCTGATCGCTCAGATCATTATCGGAACCAACCAACTCTTCGTCAGTCTGAATCTCTTCATACCATTAAATTAAATGCATTGGTATGATTTTCCATATGAGAAAGTGGCTAAATGATGTCTTAACAAGCTCGCGAAAACCGCATCTCGATGTTTGTTCCGAACCTCAAATTAAGGCAAAAGAAAATTTCATAGGAAAACCATTGAATTTAATTTTTTGTAGACTAATTTTTCTGGAATTCTTTTTTATTCATCAGAATAAATCTTTTTTGTAAATATTACAAACTATCGCTAAAAGGTAAGTAAGTAATGCTAATAACAAAAAGCATATTTTTGTTTAAATGCATACTCACTATGGGTGTATACAAAAAAGACAATTAATAGAAGCAAGCCATGGAATACAACAAAACAAAAATACCTAATCAAAACACAAATAATCCTCAAATTGTCAATAGTTGCCAATAGTTTCGCGTTACTTTGAGCAATTTTTGCCCTTACCAAATGCGTTTTACGAACGATGAAGCTGTTGATATGCTCGCAGTTTATTTTGAACGTCTTCAGAATGCCGCAGTAGCAAAAAGAGTTTACGCTACTCGATATCAAAATCGGCAAGTTTTTCCCCGGTTAGTGGCGAGCTTAGAAGTAAATGGTAGTTTTCGGCATAGGTTTCAACGGCAAAGAATTGGAAGAACACAAGAAAATATTAACCGGGTACTGGGATATATTGGAGGAAATCCTCATGTTAGCACAAGGGTATTATCACTTCAGTTGGGCATATCACGAACAAAAGTTTAAAATATCTTGAAGGACCATGGTTCTAATGTCCATCAAAATATAGGGATTTCTGTAAATTTATCTTTTTTCAATTTTAGAATGCATTTATATCAGGTCTTTTTCTGTCAGGGCTTGAAAGAGGAAGACTTTTTTCAGAGGTTGTACTATTCCCATTGAATGTTAGGCATGATACGCGAAAAAAGAGAATTTTTATTTTAAATTCTTTGGACCGATAAAGCCACCGTTAATAGTAACGGGAGAGACAAACTATACAGGGTTTGTCCGGAAAGTAATAGGACTCATTTCCTTCCGCCATGACTGTACTGCGCGCACCGACTGGAATCGGTAGAGGGCGTTCCTAGCTAACGAATGAGCGGCTGGTCAGTTGTTTCCGAGCACTTGGAGAGTCAGGACAGGCATTTTCGCGCGACGTGTTTCTGTGAGTGGTGCAAGCCGAAAATGCAGCGTTCGTTAGAGCAGAGGTACGCGATTAAATTCTGTGTGAAACTCGGTAAATCTGCGACAGAGACGTTTGATATGATCAAGCAAGCTTACCCAGGTGTTGCTTTAGCAAGAAGTGGTGTGTTTCGGTGGCACCAGCCTTTTCGGAGGGCCGGGAAGAGGTCGCTGATGAAGACCGTGCTGGAAGACTTCAAATATTATTTTAGTAGCTCAAGAATAGCTCTTTTCAACTAGCCCAAGTTTTTTACGGAAACCTTTGAATACCCCTATTACTTTATTTTTAGAGATACAGCAAAAATTGCCAAACAAAAAAGGATCGGATTATCCTCGAATTTAAAATCAGGTATTTTTTTGTTGGGTTAATGTAGCGGAATTCAAACTTGAAAATATTTTCCAGGTTTTTCTCTTGACCGTTTTAGTAAGAACATTTTTTGCCGCAACCCCCTACGATGGATATGTTCCCAGTTACAGTACCTTGCATTCTTAGTTGGTCACCCTGTACATATGAACTGTGTCATTTATCTGATCAAGGTTTTCACACTGAGCTTATTTTGTACTTATCATAGGTATTATCGTTCAGGCATAGAAATGATCCGTATGGCCAATGTCTATTACAAAGAAGGTAGCCTTGAAAATGCATATGTTCTGTACATCAAGTTCATGACCCTATTCCTGGAGAAGATCCGGAAACATCCGGACTTTTTGACAGTGCCTGTAGAAGAAAAAGCAAGAAATCAAGCAATGCTGAGGGATGTGTTACCTAAAGCTGAGACACTAAAACAACAGCTTTTGCAACAATATCAAAATGAATATAGGAAGTACCTCAATGAAATGGTAAGCATTCTCAACTTTTCAATTTTGCAGATTACTGTGACATGGCTAGTAATTTTAGCCTATTAGGTAATTCTGGTAGGTGAAAATAAAGTATAAATGTCTTTCAAATAATAGTAATGTACTCATATGGTGGAATAATTGATAGTAGATCCATTTGACTTCATCAACATACCACAAAATGATTAGCCGAAACATGAAGGACACGCCTCTGAAGGTTGTAGGCTGAAACTCGAGCATATTTTTTATACCAGGCAACTGCGGCTGCCATGGGGAGCTTAAAGAAACTGTTAATCCGATTTTTAAACTGGCTAAGGTTAGTAGAACTGGGAAAAGTCTCCTCAGGTAGATTGTTCGACAAACTCAATAACCTAGCGACAGCGATTGTGTCGGCCAGTTCTGTATGCACGAAGTTCGGTACAATTAGGATGGGCGGCCAAAGTCACAGGGGTCTATCTGCGAGGAGCAAAGCCCGTTGACATAGTGGTAGAAGAGAGTTAGATCGCCGACGTTCCGTCGGTGCAAAAGTCCCGAGATTGTTTGTTCGAGAAAGACAGTCCTCCTCTGAACAACATCCACCTTGTATACATATTGTAGTCGGGACGGTAGAACTCCAAACATGTGAGCATTACTCGAGGCCAGGTCTTATCCGCTCGGGTATTATGTAAAAAACCTATACAACGTCAAAAAAAACCTATAAGATGTCATCTTGCAGACTAGGTAGTTTTTAGGGCGCAAACAGTCATTCCACGTTCGCTCACTAGGATCGTTGTGAACGTCCATCTATGGAGGGATCACTCAACTAAACTACACGCTTTATTGGTTGCATATGTTTTGTGAGGCCGAGTGGTCCGTGTCTGTAGTTTTTATCTATGAGAAGAAAGTTGGTTGAATAGCAAGATCGCATCTGGATAATTATGTGTATTGGTCTGCATGAGTATAAAATCAGTGATATTTGCTGTGTGAGAAAATCATTAATGAATATGCTGTCAATGATGTATATCTATTAGCTGTGCCCGACGGGTTATTTATATGTTGTGCTTTCTGAAGAGAGGATATGTTCAAAGCTATAAATTACGAAAAACTGAGGAGAATTACGGGAAATCATCTCATGATGTATCTGGCTTGTAATTCGACAGTGTACAGTGAATATAATTATTTCTTATCTCTCATTTTTTAAATTCAGCAAATTTGTATATGTAATTTCCAGAATAGATAAGAAAAAGTGGCTGCACAACTAATTTCTAGCTTTGAATCTCAATTAAGTGTATTTGAGACAAGAATCCAATGGAATTATCATCAACACATACAACTTACAGCTTAGACCTCCAGTAGTGCCATGTCTGAAGCAGATTTTACATCACATCAGAGCGAAACATTGATAACTGAAGCCTCATGACGTACAAGTGCATTTTGTAGGAAAACCTACATAATGTCAAAAAACCAGTACAATGTCAAAAAAAAAATCGATATAATGTCACTTTTCAAGATACGTGATACCCGTGCCGGACCTTGTACAGAGTGAAGAGGTTATGTGGATCTGTCTTGGACGGCTTTTCCCATATTTTTGGGGTGTTCCCCAATGCAGGAAGTCACAAATTTGTACCAAACCGTCCCTACAACTATAAAAGGTCGATGCAATAAATAGTAACAGATTTGATGTAAAAATATACAGGGTGTCCAAATAGTGTGCTCAATATCTTCGTTACTATTAGAGTTGCAGAAAAAAGTTATATACAAAAGTTGTAGGCAGAGCTAACCTGAAATTATTTTTAGATATGCAGGCTGTCCCATAAACTAGTGGCAATATACACTTGTATTTTTTTAAATCTAGATAAACTTGTCCGTTTAATGTAGCATTGAAAAACTGTGGGCCTATAAGAAAATGGCCAATTATTCCATCCCAGACGTTTAATGACCATCGCTCCTGGCTGTTCGTCAACATTGCATAGGGCTGATGGCTGGCATAATGGTGGAAATTGTGTCTATTTACACATCAGTGTTTAAGGAAAGTTGATTGGTCGTGAACAGAACATTTTCAAAAAAATCTTGGTCACGGATTTTATCTTTTTCCCTGCCACAAAATGTCAGCCTAAGCCCTTGATCGTTTTCGCTTAGCTCTTGGTGCAATTGTATATGGTAGGGGTGCATTTTATTTTTTTGAGGTATACTGTGCACGGATGATTTGTTAATGTCTAAATCTTTTGAACTACGCCGAACACTTACATGGGGAACTTCAGTTACGCGGGGCATAACTTGAAACACGTTCGCTTCCTGTAAAACTGGCTTCACGCTTTCTTTCTTCTCATATGCCACACTTCCTGTTCGTTTGAAACGCTAGGTAAGATAATCGAGAGTTTTTCTACCCGGTTTTCTTCTGTTGATTTTACAATAAACAATTTGTGTAACTTTCTCCTTCCACTTAAATCATATCAACCATTTCTTGTGTTGAAAAATTCATTTTATTTCTAAGCGAACCCAATACAATATATAATAATTCCAATATTATTATGATTTTCACTTATAAAACATGGAATATTTAAGAAATACAAGGTTTAGGTACAGGGAATGCTTAATAAAACTGAAAAGGGCGTTGAATAGATGTATAACATACAGGATGTTGCATTTAAATTGTTCGATTAAATTACATCTTTCTGTTCTGACTCACTCTGTATGCCTCAAATGAAGCATATACGTAAATACATGTCTACTACTGTTTCCATCACTCAGTATAATAAAACAGATTATATCTAAAGTGTGTTTAACATACATAGTCAAATGTACAATGATTTTAACCATATAGTCTGAAATACCCAGTACAAACCCTCGAAACCACACATTGGCAGAATGACCAAGAAAAGACGCTCCTAAAAATCAACATAAATACAGGGTCTCATTAAAAAAATACAAGTTTATATTGCCATCAATTCATGGGACACCCTGTATAGCTAAAAATAATTTTAGGCTATAGCCCTTAGCTTTGCGTGCAACTTTTATATTTAACTTTTTCCTGCAACTCTAATAGTAACGAAGATATTAAGCTTTGACACACTATTTCCCAAGCCAATATTAGGTAAGGAAAGTATGGTAATCACAAACAATTTTTGAATTGACATGTTCTTTGGATGTGTATGGCATATACGAGTAGACACATCACAAACCAAAACTTGCTACTTGTTTTCTTTTGCCTGACTGTGATGTCTTACCATATATTGTCCTCGTAATAGTCTGGAAAGTTTGATGAAGATAGCAGTAATGCTTGACCTTCCCTCAGATAGTACCATTCAGGATTTGATGATTTTTCGTTGCTATGTTATTTAAACGGAGGAAGATTTTTTGAACCTTATTTGCAGTTTTTTTATCTATTTGATTAGGCCCTTATTTGCTTTTTTGAGTGTCAATAGGTATTTATGCTTTAGCGCCTTGAAATATCGATTTTTGCAATATCTGAAACTTTATTTTATTAACTCGAATACTTTCTTCTTTAGGGGGCATGTTTGGCCTGAAAGGATGATGTATTTTCATGGTATCACAGTTTTCTACTCAAAAACTCTCAATTTGAGATAAAACTTACTTTGTTCAATGTTAGCAAAATCATCTAAAATAATGGACAAAACAGAAAACTTATTTTGCAGTGATTCGTTTCGCGTTAGTGACATGTTGGTCCTGATTTGGAGCTCCTCGCGACAATATTGTGGAAAAATCTAATGGGAATATTTTTTCCAACAGAACCACTTTTTTGCATTTTTAAATACCTTCTACTGTAAAAAGGAAACTTTGAATTTCTTGGACCGATCAGTACAGTACAGTAGTTGTTTTTATGACTGACCCGCCGTGAGCCATTTTACACTTGTTCATTTATTGCGGATTCTATATAACTGCACACGACTATCACTGGTTCACTTTTCACTCACCAGTTAAGACAAGAGTCACGAAATAGAAATCGTGCCATGCTGTTGTCTTTTTTGCCCCGTAAGAACGTAGCTTTATAGATGGTCTCAACCCTCTTTGACATTAGCGCCAAAGGATAGTCAAAGATTTGGCTGCTTCTTACGATATGTAAATGGACTTTGCTTCTCTGGACTCTCGTAATCAATGACTTACTTGAATTTTTGGATTTCAAGTGAACATTATTAATCACTATTAATAGAATTTTATATTAGTTATGTCTAACATATTTTTTAATATCTCTCTTTCTGACCACGCATCCTGTCCCTCACAGTACTGCCGACCTGTCTCCCCTGGGTAAAGTCAGACCACGGTGTGGTGAAGGTTAGTTTTCGGTCAGAATCGGCTGTGGCAGCAAAAACTCGTCCAGACCGCACAATTTGGCATTACGGACATGCCGACTGGGAGGGCTCAGATACTTTTTCTCCAGCTTTCCGGCATAAGATCAAGGCACACAACCTTCCTACAAAACCCCACTGTAGAGAACAGACAAGTCAACGTCGAGTCCAGAAACAAATATAACGAAGCGGTCCGCAATGCCAGAGGCCAGTACGATGTAAAAATTAGGCATCGACTAATGTCGCAGCGCAATGGCAGGCGATCTTTCTGAATGCTCGCCAAGCAGATCGAAAGGAACTTCTTGCGGACTAGCTTTCCACCACTTACGTGCCAGGATGGAATGATTGTAACCGACTCAAAGGCTAAGGCGCAGGTGCTTGCCAACTCCACCATGAACGTCCCCCTCGACGCCCGAGTGCTGTCGATTCAAAGGGTTTTTATCCGCAAGATATCCGTCGTAATTGGTGGGTGTTCCCCATGGATCTTGGTTCCGACTGTTATGTAGTAGGTAGCATCATAAGTGTTCAATTTGTAATAACTTGTAGTCGTGGACCCTTGTTGTAAATCACTTTATTGTGTTTATATAAAAATACATGCCTTACCGCTTATCGGGGAAAGTACAAGAGCGGAGTCAGACATTCACACATGACGTTTTAGATAGGTGAAGTGATTGTACTGTCAAATGGAAACTGTTCTGAGGTGCGCATGGGCGTATCAATCTCAGAAAAAGGGTTCAGTCACAACACCGACATTGTCCCTCTTATATATAAACGATCTCCTTTCCTGTACGATCAATCCAATCCACAGCCTTGCTGATGACACCACTCTACATGCAGGAATTCAGAGCGACAAGCCGATCTTTGCCGGCGAACTTTAGGCAAAAAGATTAGCAGCGGCTTCCTCTCTTACGAGGGACCTGGAGGTTACCTCTGCTTGGGGATAACACAGTACTGTACCTTGAAGAACAAAAAGCGTCTTAGCGCTTATCCGGTTTCGATGGATGGCCGAGTTGTACCAAAGAGCCGTTCGGCTGGTCGGAGCCCAGATTCCCGAGAACTTCATCTGGCACGAACTACTGCTGGGAAAAAGCTAGGCTATTTGTTTACGGCTAAGCTGTGCTTTCCTCATCACTCTATACAAGGCCCAGATAAGACACAGCCGCGCATTGGCGGGCCGTCGGCGATCTAGCTCTCTTCTACTGCTACTCCAATGGGCGTTGCCCCTCAGAGCTCTTCTTGATGATGCCGCCGCGTGATATGCCTGTAAGACAGACCAGCCTGACTTCGGCTTCCCATTCTAACCGAGTCGAACTTCGTATTTACAGAACTGGTCGATACGACTGCTGCTTTGTCCCTACGGTATCGAGATGGTGGAACAACATACGTGAGCAGGCTTTTTCCAGTTCTACTCAGAGTCAGTTCAAAAACTGTATAAGTTCAAAGTTTCTTCAAGCTCCTCATAGTAGCCGCGGTCCCTGGCACTTAGGCCCGTATCGTCAGTCGTCCCTACAATTGTAGGGTGCGTTTATGGCCTCCTTGATTGTCATACTCTTTTCTCTCCTTCAAAAATTTCTAGATTACTCTCGTCCCGTGTCAGCGTCAGCGCTCTCCTATTGTTAAGATATGTTTTCCTTTTAAATTGTAGGAAATTTCAGGCTGTTAAAACATGATATAAGTCAAAAGCAAGCACAATTTGATGCAAATAGATGTTTGTGACATAACCTCAAAATAGAGCTCTGACACGGAGAAGTAGAAAACTATGACAATCAAGGAGGCCATAAACGCGCCCTACAATTGTAGGGACGACTGACGATACGGGCCTTAGACTTCTGCCTGCGCGGCTGATTCGTTGTGAAAAAAAAACACGATAAAGGCGGAGAGTTGAGCTGGTTGGTTAAATATTTGGATAACATAAAACATGATTCTTTTAAGCAATGGGCCTTATTCGTACAAAAGTACAAAAAAGGCGAATTGTCGCTAAGGGTAGTGTCTTTCTTTTTAACTTTTATTATCGTAAGAGTATATCCAGCAACATCTCTATCTGCGATTTGTTTGTTCCTTTGCTCCAAGTCATCCCTTTGAGAACTTTAGGCCCCGGTTGCTTAGAGCCGTATCGTCAGTCGTTCCAACAATTGTGGTACGCATTTATGGCTTCCTTGATTTTCATAGTATTTTTTCGGGATTTTTCGGGATATTTCTAGATTTCTACTGTTCCATGTCAGAGCTCTCCTAATTATGTTTTTATTTTGATTTGTAGGAAATTTCAGGCTGATAAAACAGATGATAAAAATCAAAATCATGAACAATTTGATGCAAAGAGATATTTGTGACATAATCTCAAAATAGAGCGACTCTCTGAATGACACGAAAAACTATGAAAGTCAAGGAGGCCATAAAGGCGTCCTATAATAATTGTAGGAACAACTGACGGTACCGCCCTTAGTGATCGGAACTCACAGAATTACAAGCTTTACAAAAGAAATAGGGGGCTTGAAGCATCCGGGCTCCTTAGAGTTTATCTTAACTAGCAAAAGGAATGAGGTGCGAATCACATGCACATATCGGTAGAAGTTGTGTTATGCATTGAAAATTTGCACAGAAAAATCTGACACAGTTCTGTGGCCAAAAAATATGAAATTTGTACCTCTCGTGACGTTGCGCCATTAGCAGCGTCACGAATACTCACCTTGTTTATAACAGTATTGTTCACCTGCAACTTCTACAAATACTTGCTAGGAAGCGTTAAACAGAATAGATATCTTGCAGTGTCTTGTGTTAAACAGCAACATATTTAGCAAGTTTTAAACGGAATTGGCTTGAAGAATCGTTCAAATATCATTTGCAGAGAGATGAATGCAGAGTTGCCAGATTAATACTTTTTTTGAATGAATTTACAGCGAAAAAATATGCATTACTTCAAACTCAGTATTGTTTTGAATCATTACGTCATTTTATTCAGCTTAACACTCATACAACTGTTGGTTCTTTAGCCACAATTCTACGTTGCGTTCATAGATGTCTCTACAACCAATGTTCAGTCCCAGACTTCGCTCAGATTTAAACGGGTTTTTTATGTAAAACTAACAAGCGGTCACCCCGAAGCATCCAATTTAAAGAGACCAGAGACATGTTCAACGGAGGTGACAGGCAAAGATCAAATATGTTCATTCTGCGATGTTCTTCTCCTGTCTCATGTTTTATCTTTGTTGTTACTTCAGAAGCAGCTGAAGCTGGATCGCAAAAAGAATGAGGATGCTGCAAGTGGAGTAGACGAGAAGAGTCCTTCGAAGCAGAAGTCTTCTTCGATAGTCCCGGTGACTCCATGCAGGCCCTCTCCAACGGATCTGCCGGTGGTTATGCCTGAAGTGTTGGATGACGTTAGCTACCCAGACCCAGACCTGGCACCACCAAGGCCCTCCGCCCCATCCCCTCCACTGCCCTCTGTCATAAGCGATTCAAGGTGAAGTTTTGGAAAATTAGTCTATTAATTCCAGCCTCCGCCCTATTTCACGAGTATCCATCGGTCGAATGACAGCTGATTATCTGGTAAAATTTCAAAATTCCCCATGTCGGCAAAGGACTCATAATGCTGACGGATCTGTCAATGCCAGGTAGACAGAGCTATATTGTTTTGGTTTTTTTTAAGCTACAGATTCATTTTGTGCTTGCTAAAAGCTGTTTTATTTAGAAAAGTTCATTTGCAAACAAAAAACAAACCAGTTTCATTAGATTTACACCTGATTCATTATTGCCCACGACGCAAACTAACAAATATGCCACTTGCTGATCTGCTGTGGACGTCAAAGCGTGATGGATACTCGTGAAATAGGGTATACAACTGACAACTTGGCATAAGCAAGTGAGGTTATGTAAAATAGAAGTGCCATTCTAGCGGTGATTGTTAGATTTGCTTTTCTGCTTTCCTCACTGTGTTGCAGGCTTTCAGCAGATTTTCTTCTTGCAGTGCCATCTTTAGTAATAAAGGTTGGCTATAATCGGTGCAAATTCATTCCAAGTGTTTACTCATCGAACCCAGTACATTAACGGATATTTTTCTCCTTCCACAATTTTGCCTTTCATGATAATCTGAAGCAGTTCTTATCTATCGTTTCGGAATATACAGTACTTTTCAAAAAGGTCTCTACCTACTTTTTTTTAACGGGTCAAGGATAGGAAGCTGAAATTCGAAATTGATACATGAAAAATATGTTTTAGCGGAAAAGTGGCAGTTTGAGATTTCAAAATGGGCTCCATGTTGGAACATTTTTTTAAATGGAATGAAGGGCCCTGAAACTTATAATCCAACTATACAAAAACACTATATTTCAAAATGGCGGACTGGCACGCTGTCAAAGTTGAGCGTTTTTGCTTATAACTCGACAATCATCAAAGCGCTATAGAATGATAATCTATCGCCTACTCTTGGAAGGGAACATTCCATAAAAAATGTATAAATCTGTCAATTTTGTGTAAAGGGAGTGTCCCATATTTTACTGCGTATTCCAAAAGAGGAAATGGTTGGTTGTTAGTTTGCAATGTGTCTTCAAGGTGCTGTTACTGCTTCGCAAATGTGTTTAGATCGTATTTCTGGATGATTCTGTACCCGAGCCGTGTTGGTTTGTTTATACAGGGTGGCCCAACGAAAAGGTCGCACCCCCATTTGTGACTCTCCTGGTATATTGTGGAGAAAACGCTTGGTCACGACAATATTGATTTCTAGGGGACGTCTTTTCATCTATATCCGTAAAATACAGGGTGATCCAAAAATAAGATATTGCGTTACACTTTAGATTTTTAAATAGAAACCTCCATTTTTTCATTTTTAGATTTTCCATGACGGTTTTAGTAACTTTTGTATAATAAAGTTTATACCTATCTTCAATCGTTGTGAAGCTATTTGAGCTTATAATAAAATTCTAGAAATTGTGATAATAAGGGATTAAATCGTAAAAATAATAATCAGTATAGTTCCCATAGTAACCAGGCTTAGAAAAAAAAAACAAAAACAACTTACAGTCTACACGCACATTAAAGTTAAAGTAAAAATTGATTTGCTATAAAGAGGTTGGGCAACTACAACACAAACCGCCTCTGTCGCATTAGAAGTGTTACACCCAGAAAAAATAATTTTTCCAACATTATTTTTTGGCAATGAGGTAGTCTTTCATCGAGAATGAAACGATAACATCCTCACGAAATTTTATTGACAAGTATATAGTAAGAAAAAAAATCAATGTGTTGGACGCCTCCTAAGCTGAATACGCTCCTGTATTATAATCCAGTTATTCAGATCATATAGTAGTAGTAAACAAGCAAACGATCTCGTCCTACCTTGTCAAGAATTTGGTTGGTACACAGTCCATGAAATAACCTTTTGGCGAAGAGTTTCCATTTATAAGGATAAAGTACGGGTCTGGATACATTGGTGCAGCGGATTTTACAGTTTTCAGTCGTTTTCGGCCATATTTATATAACCTCGGAGTGACGTAAAATTGACAAGTTGACAGTTTGTTCTTCCTGATCCATACTACATAAGAAATTACTATACAGAGTGTCATGATCCGCAAAAAGAAGAAGGAAGAAGAAGAACAACAAGAAAAGCCCGAGAATGAAAAAAGATGAAGAAAATCGACCTGATTCGACTAATGTAAAAAAGATATTAGAAGAGAATCGATCCCTGAAGAAAACACTAGCAGAAAAGGAGGAAATAATTCGTCAGCTCAATAACGAAAATTTAAAACTAAAAGAGCAGCAACTGTCAATAACCGCAAGTATTACTGAGAAGGATGCCATAGCATCAGCATTAAATAGAATTAATATGAGACTCGACGAAGTTGAGAAAAACCAGTTAGTAAAAGAAAATTCATACGCACAAATCTTAAAACAAACGACACCTATTACTAAAAGGCAATCACTGAAATGCATCACAGTTATTCCAAAAGAAAAACAATCTTGCGATAATACGAGAAGAGAATTGAGTAAGAGAATAAATCTTTCATCTCTGAATATTCAAATAGAAAGTGTGAGATACTCAAAAAATGGCGGAATTGATATAAAAATTGATGAATCAAACCATAATAAACTGAAAGATGAACTTCAAAATAAATTGAATGAAAAATACCAAGTTACTGAGCCGAAAATGTTGAATCCAAAAATTAAAATAATAAATTATAAAAGTAGTGAGAAACCGAATGAAAAGCAAATTGAAGAAGATCTTATACATCAGAATTATATGATTCAGAGTGGAGACATACAAGTAAAGTTTATCAAATATTTTCCATCAAGAAACAATTACACTATCTACGCGGAAACTTCTGGAAAGCTATTCAAAAAAATCTTCGAAGACAATAATAGAAGAATACTTCTGGGATGGCAATGTTTGACAGTATATCAGAATAACGACATTTCTCAGTGTAGAAAATGCTACCGTTTTAATCATACAGAAAAGAATTGCAGGAATGAGAAGATATGTGCCAACTGTGGCAACGGTCACGAAGGAGAAAATTGTAAGCATGTATCAATAGAATGCTGCAACTGTAGATATGGAAATGAAAGATATAAAAAAATTATAATATTAACCACTCACCTACCGACAAAAACTGTCCATCGTACAAATATTATCAGGAACAACAAAACTTAAGGATACTTTTTTAAAATTCAAGTTCATCTTTAACTACTCCTATCTCTAAAGAGGACCTAAAAATGTCAGTAAATAAATACATTAATGATTTCCAAATTCCAAGTATTGCAACAAATATAGCACAAAACGTCGATGAACTTAATTCATGTACACAAAATTCTGATGCAAAATTTCGAATTTTTAATATGAACATAAGGAGTATAAAACACAACATTGATTACTTAAAAATACTACTCGACCAAATATGGTACAATTTTGATCTAATAGTTTTAACTGAAACGTGGCAAGTGGCTGATATTTCTTGCTTCAATCAGCAGGGATATGACACGCTGTATAACTTTGGCACTTATAACCAAAACGATGGAGTGATAGTTTTTGTAAGAAATAAACTGCAATATAGTCATGATACATTCACTTTCACCGATGGAATCAAAATTTTAAACATAATGATCCAAATTAACCATAACAAAATTGAGGTATCTGCAATTTATCGTCCGCCATGTTCAGAACCCACGAGTTTTTAAAGAATATCGAATTTTTTTTTCAAAATCAAAATAAAGTTCATTTAAAGCAACATATTTTCTTGGGAGATGTCAATATAAATATTTTGGACGATGATCCCATCACAAATGAATACTTGAATATCCTATCAAGTAACGGATTTCTGTCCTATATAAACCTACCTACAAGGTCCATCAGTTGCACATGTATAGATCACTGCTTTGTGAAAGATCTATCCAACAAAATTACTTGTATACCAATAATCCTAGAAAGCGATATTACTGACCACTTCTCCACTATTTTACTGATATCTTCAACTGAAAAACATTCTAACATCCCTACCGTAAGTAACAACCAGGAAAATTACAAATTTTTTGTCGACAATTCAAAACTAATATCAAATGTCAAACAAGAATCCTGGGAACAATTATACTCTATAAATAATATAGACAAAGCAACGGGACTGTTCACAGAGAAAATAAAAAAACTAATAGATATTAGTGCCAATAAAGTAATAATTAGTCACAAAGAGAAAAACAGAAATGCCTGGATTACCAAAGGATTAATAACATCGGCAATAGAAAAAGAAAGACTATATAATGTAATGAAACTAACGCCAACTACAGAGAATACCGACTGCTACAACCAATATAAAAATAAATTTATAGAGCTTGTAAGGCAAACCAAACGAAAACATTACCTAAATAAATTGAATAATAACTTAAATGATCCTAAGCGGCTTTGGACAACTATTGATGAGATTACTGGGAAAACAAAAGTTAAAGAGTGTGTCACTGAGTTAAATACAACATCGGGAACAGTATTAAAAAATACTCAACAGATATGCGATGAATTTGTACAATTCTTTACTGACAAAGGCGAAAATTTAGCAAGTAATATACAAGCAAATGTACAAAATACTCAGCCTCCAAAAAGAACTTTGAACTCATTTATTTTGGATAAAGTCGAGCAATGTGAAGTATACACCACTGTTATGTCCTTAAAAAAAAGGAAAAGTCCTGGGTTCGATGGTATTAAAAGCGAGCATTTGAAAATTATAGCCGAGGACATAACAGAACCACTCACTTACCTAATCAACAAATGCTTTGAATTTGGCATATATCCCTCAATTTTAAAAAAAGGTAATATAATACCGATACATAAATCAGGAACAAAAACAGATGTTAACAACTATAGACCAATATCAATAATATCCAGTGTAGCAAAGGTTTTTGAAAAAGTTTTATCTACTAGAATGATTCGATACCTCACAAAATTCAAAATTTTAAGTGAAAATCAATATGGATTTACAGAAGGGAAGGCTACATCGGACGCAATAACTAAAATTGTAAATCAAATACATCAAAATATTGATAACAGAATCCCTTCAATCTGCATTTTTGTTGATTTAAAGAAAGCTTTCGACACAGTTAATCACAAATTATTATTAGAAGCATTGGAGAGAATTGGTTTCAGAGGAGACGCGAACTCACTGATCGAAAGTTATTTGTCAAATCGCCCACAATCTGTGCAGATATCAGGATCATTTAGTAAAGAAATGTATATTAAGTGTGGTGTCCCACAAGGAACTGTCTTAGGTCCGCTGTTATTCAATATATGTATATTTAAATGATATTTTCCAAATTAATTGTGTTGGCAAAATAACTAGTTTTGCAGATGATACTGCAATATTATATGAAGGCACTGACTGGTCTGATCTGAAAAATGTAATTGAAAATGATTTTATCAAAATTATTCGGTGGTTTAACAGTAGAAAATTAAGCATTAACTACTCTAAAACACATTTTTTACCATTTGGATCTTATGCTAGACATCTGCCAAATTACACAAATTTCGTCTTCAATATTAATGATCAAAAAATGCAAATTAATAGAGTGCCCAACATAAAATACCTTGGAGTGGTCTTGGATCCTCACTTACGATGGGACATCCATGTCAATTATATTTTAAAGAAAGTTAGATTTGTATCCTACAAAATTAAATACCTTGGGAATATATTGACAGAAAAATATCTTCGAACATTATACCATGCACTGATTGAGCCTCATCTCACATATGGTATATTAGCATGGGGAGCTGCATGTTCCTCACATATCTATAATTTAGATGTTTTTCCAAAAAGTATTCTAAAAATGATATTTAAAAAACCGAAACTTTATCCCTCTGAAAAATTATACGCATATGTTCGAATGTATAAGACAGCTTTATTTCTTACACAGTATCACTCACTACCATAAATTTGTAAACACCGACCAAAAAATTAAACATAATCATTATACCAGGTACAAAATTCGTGGCACAGTAGTTCCTCAAGCGCATACATCTATAATGCAGCGATCATATCTCTATTTAGCGCCTAAATTTTATGAAATTATACCTAAAGACTTAAAAGATTTACGTTTCGGAAATTGTTTCAAAAGAAATTTAAAAAAGTGGCTACATTCTATATCTAGGACTGAAATTCATAAACTCATAAATACGAACATCAACTAAATACATAATCTACTGTAGCTAATTTTTGTCCTTTTTTGTCATTTGCATTCTACAGTTTCAACTTAAATTTATTGGTCCATGTACGGGCGATGCCTTCTATTGGGCCTGTTTTGATTTTATATTTATTTACTCATATTGTTTGTTATCTTTGTACATTGAGTGAATAAATATTATTATTATTATTATTATACGTTTAGGCATCGACAAAATGGGATGATCGATCTCTAGTTGTGGCACCTCATTTCAAGCAACTCGGACTTCGTGGATTAGCTGTGGCAGAGTCTGTGGCGGATGGTGCAAAGTGGATAGTCTTCCTCCCATCATATCCCACACATGTTCGATGGGATTTAAATGCGGTGGCCACGGCAAAACATTAACGACTGCTTCTTGAAGAAAGTCCGTAGTACGACGAACAATATGGGGATGTGCGTTGTCTTGCTGAAAAAGGATGTGTGGACGACCCTCTACTGGAGATATGGCATTAAAATGGTTTGTAGGACATCATCAACATAACGCGCAGCAGTTATATTGCCTTGAACAAAGAGAAGGAGTGATCGGCTATCATAGACAATAGCCCCCCAAATCATTACTCTAACAGTCCTGTGTACATTCCTCTCATCAGCAAATCCATTATCACGGTATGGAAAAAGTCCAAAGGCTCGAATGCAGCGATAGAGTGTACGCATAATAACAGGTCTACCTTCTTCACTAAACCATTGGTCAGCGATCTGACGCGTAGTAGCAAAACGGTCTCGTAGGGCTAGTTGTCTGAAGCGCCTTTTTTGACGCTCTGTGGTACGCTTCGGTGGACCAGTTGGCCTTTTTCGTGTTCCTCTACCTTCTTCTATCCACACACGACACACACGCATTACCGTCATTGCAGTACAATTAACACGGCACAAAAACTAAGAGATAACTTTTTTACAAAAACAAAGATAGAACGACACTCTTGCCACAGCATGCTTTAAATATGTATTATGTTGCCAAAAAAGAAAAAAACAATTGAAGAAATTATTTTTTCTGGGTGTAACACTTCTAATGTCACTGCAAGCTGCAGTGTGGTTAGAATGACTTTGACGTGATAAGTGGCAGTTCGAAGTTGACATTTATTTTTTATTACAAAAATTTCGCTACGTGACAGACAGGATTGTAATTGGTACACAAATTGGGGATTAAATGCAGTAACGTATTTTTTCACAAAATTCGATAGCAAATTATAAACAAAATTTGTTATCGTGATAGACGGCCTATAGAGATTATGACAACTTGAGTCAGGTAGATTGACAAAAAATTATTTGTGAGTATGGGTTTCGATCCAATGAAAATGATTTCGGGAAAGTGATCCATCAGGTAGGTGCGCACTTGTCCAAGACGTTTCTGGGTCCCTTTGAACCGAAAGGTCCGTTATGATGTCATTCATCTTTGTTTTTATCTCACGCGGTAATGGTTTTTCAGGATTGTGGGTATACCATCCATAGATCGCAGTACGAAGCCGTCAACCGACCCCGGCAGATTCGATTCTGGCACGTTGCGAACTTATGTTGTTCCCGGAAAGGTTATGACATTATTCCAGGTAATCTTTTGTTATTCATAGCAAAATAAGAATTGCAAGTTTCAAGACTCGTTAGTTCTGTATTTTATATTGTACTCTTCCAATATTTCTTTTTAAACTTATAGCTTTAGTGGCATGTTATACGAACCTTAAGCGTGTTTAGCCGTTACCCCCGACATAACAAGGCAAAACAACTCAGCTGCGAAAAGGCTGTGACGTCACGCTAAGTAGGCCAGATCATATTCTTACGGCGTTTCGTCATGCTGGCTGGTAAGAGGGGTGCTGACATATCAAGGTATGATATAGCAGTATCGAAATATCTACTAATTAGTTATACCTCACCGTGGGCGAATTTGCAAGATATACCCGGGGCCCGCGCAGCTTCAATGATGATCCGATTATTCTTTCTGATCCGCCTCATGAATACAGTTTCGATATTACGTCACGTGTGAAGTCTAACATGTCTGCAAAAATGGAATGTGTGGCGACATAGCAGCTAACCTCAAATTCTGAGGTTGCTATCATGTATGAATATTTATGTTTATTATTGTTGTTTTAAACTTATATTTGTGTCTCGCAATTGTTTCCCAATGCCTTACAAGTGCCGCGTTCCTAATTGTGCCGGTAATTACGTGAAAGGTCCGAAGGTTCCGAACCCCGTGAATGAATGGCTCAATGCCATCCCTCGTAGTGATTTAGTGATTACAAAAAATACTATACTATAACTATCTAAAACTGTAATGACTCATCGATGTTCACGTGAACATCACTTAACTATACTACAACTATTTAAAACTGTAATGACTCATACGCGTGATCAACACGTGATCAGAGCTCGATCCCGGCTTCCTTCCAGTACAGCCGTATAGCGTACGACATATGTCGTTTCTGTGGCTTTGCGGTGGTCAACAGCACATACAGAGATGGAAATAATGGCTGATTGTTCTCCGCCGGTAGAACCAATGAAATCAAAGACGCGCCTCGACCGGCAGACTCATAGGCGTCGGCAACGCATTGGAACGTGTTTCGTTGAGCGATTGCATATTGTGTGTTTTTATAAGAATTATTGTGTGATTGTTATTGTTGTGGTTTCTGTGGTTACTGTTTTGGTTATACTTAACCATGGAGAGTACAAATGGCACAAGTGGAAGTACTGAAAGCCAGGGAACAAGTAGACGGCTTCGTAAAGCACTGAAGAGGGACGCGAAAGAAATCGTGCTCAACGTGTTCAATTATCTGAACAGAACTATGTCGCAGGGAGATGCACTCGCGCGTTGTGAAAGTATGACAGGCGTTCCATAGTGGACCATTCGCAGGGTGGTGCATGAAAAGAAGAAAACTGGAGCTACTACTGATCCAAAGTTTAATTTGAAGGGACGAAAGGCCGTTAAATTGGATGACGATAGCAAAATGGCGTTAAGGCGAACCGTACATTCATTCTTCTTTAGGAATGAGATACCAACCCTCAAGGCTATACATGCAGCGATCAAGGAAAATGAAATTATACCCCAAATGAGCGTCGAGGTAATGAGGAAATCCCTGCACGAAATTAATTTTCGTTACGAAACGCGTAATCGGAAGTCAGTATTGATAGAGAGACCTGAAATAGTCGCCTGGCGTCGAAAATACCTACGCGAAATGATTGAATATAGGCGACAAAGCAGAAAAATCTATTATTTGGACGAGACATGGGTAAATGCAGGTCACACAGTTAAAAAAACCTGGATAGACAAAAACGTAGTGAGTAACCGACAAGCAAGCATTGAAGGTTTGTCAACAGGTCTTCGTGGACCGTCAGGGAAAGGTCAAAGATTGATCGTAACTCATATTGGTAGCGATAGTGGCTTTTTAGAAGAGTGACTTGATTTTCGTCTCTAAGAAAGGAGGTGATTACCATGACGAAATGAATGCAAGCTGCTTCGAGAGCTGGTTTCAAGGGGTGCTTCAGCGAGTTGAGCCCAACTCTGTGATCGTCATGGATAATGCTTCCTACCATAGTCGTCGAGCTGAACGTGTACCGACTATGGGATCTCGAAAAAGTGACATGCAGCAACGGTTGCGCGAAAAAGGAATCCCGTTTGACGATTCATGTGTGAAAGCGGAATTGTATGAAAAAATTAAACAGCACAAACCTGCGAACATTAGTTACGTGACTGATGAGATGGCCCGTCAATGTGGTGTCACTGTGCTGCGGTTACCGGCCTACCACTGTGAACTGAACCCAATAGAGCTCATCTGGGCTTCAGCCAATATAACCCTTCACTTCAGTGAAGGGTTATATTGCGCGCCATAACACAACCTTCAAATTACCAGACGTTAAGGTTTTACATCAGACTTCCATACAGCTAGTAACGCCCGAAGCTTGGCAGAATGCTATCCGTCATGTTGTGAAGGAAGAAACAAAAATGTGGCAGCTTGACCACCACATCGACACCATCATAGAGCCAGTTATAGTCAATTTCAACGAGGAAAGCAATAGCGACAGTTGTATTACTGTCAGATGTAAGTGGAAGCGACGATGAATAAAGGTAATTCCCAAATTTTTGACTTACAATATGTTTCAAACCACTCTTTATTAAGCATGTGACAAATCTAGTTCACCCATGTTAAACATTCATACCCCGCCTATGAACAGCCGACTACTGGTAGTTAAGTGATGTTCACGTCAACATCGATGAGTCATTACAGTTTTAGATAGTTATAGTATAGTAGTGAATCACGCGTCTGTTGTCAGGCCTTGTCCTCTCGGTGGTAACGGTTTAGCGCCACATTAGAGTCAGTCTATCAGGTAAGTGGCATATCTGCAATTCAAATTATATGAACGGCAGTTGCATCCGCGTTGGCCAGTTTTAAGTACCCTGTAAATGTGCTCTAGTTATATACAACCATCCAAATACTACATTGCACCCGTACAAGCGCGACATTCCAATGTTTAAAAAGTTTCGCAAGAGCTGGAAAAGTGTCGATCCCGAGAAAATACAGATTTATACTGATAAGCTATCATGCCTGAATATCGCAGAGTGTGACAAGCTGCAAGAATTTTATCGACATGAATTGACCAAAGGAAATCCTAGAGACGACTATCGAGAATTGATAGAACTTTCAATAATATTCCTTGGCGGAGATACAGAGAAAAAAATTAAGATTCGACTGCCAGGCGCCACGTATCAAGCTCGATGAATAGCCAAAGCATTCTATTCATTACATACTTTCTAATAAGGATAAGGCAGATCTGTTAGATACCTGCGTGTTCATGGTGACAACATACGTGAAACCGTGGGTGCAATGCACCTAACCAGGATTTATGCTTTTTAAAGGTAATGAAGGCTTACGAAGGAATTGTCAAAACCTTTTCAAAAGCAGCTTTACAAAAGTTAAAATAATAATAAATGGTCTTTAATCATCATTCAAGTAAAAATGCAATGATAAAATGATGAAAGTCGTAGTTCAGCCTAAGCTGCTTTCCAACTAAACCCACAAAAATTAACACTCATACAAAATATATATGAAACAAAAACTTAATATACAATACAAAATAGAACATACGAGAACAACTCATTCAAAAAAAAAAAAATAACAAGATGACTTAAAAAGAGACATACATTATCCTTCAAAACGTAGCCAGCTTTGGTTATACCTTGGTTCGTGCAGGAGATCAGCCTTCAATCTTTTTTTAAAATTATAGAGCCTCAAACTTAAACAGAGACGTTGAATGTTTTAGAATAACGAAAATATGTTTATTACGAGTTACTTTATTAAGTTCTGCCAACATTTAAGGTATTTAACAGATGAGGTCTGTGTCTTATCTCTGTTTGACGACGACGTAGATGGGGAATCTAGTCCATCGCCCACGGTAAACGCTTCAGCCCATCGGAAGAAGAACTTTATGAAAAGAGAAACCTTATGGAAAGTCTGAGGAATTTTCCTTTGTCTTCTTTTACTGCTTTGATATGATGTGCTAACTGTAATCTTATACCTCAAATAGGTGTATGCTTTCGTTCGTTCTGATCTGAGGCCAAGCCTAGAACATGCTGATGAATTGCCCAAAAGCACAAAAGATCTTTCCATGGTTGATTGCTTGTCTTGTGGGCGGGCAAAACCAGTATGTTTAGATGGTAGATATTTTCTTCGTTTTTTCATTTCACAGAAAAATATCGATGACTTTGTTTCAGTCAAAAACAAGTCCTTGTTCGGTCGACTCAAAATTGATGACAGTTTTCTCGACGAGTGTCTAACTTCGTGACCACTCATGATTCTTTTCAACATGCTAAGAATAAGGTGCAAACACTGAGAGCAGTTAACGATACGGCAGAAAGAGCGGTCAAGTTAATGCATACAGAAGCACAGGCAGGTATATCCTGCTGGAAAAAGAACATTTACTAAATAATGTTCTTTTAATGATAAATATTGTAGCGTTTTTCTGGGTTCTTTTGGGTGTGGATTAAAACAGTGGATTCCACAAAAAGAAATGCACTAATTTATTTAACTTGATAAAACATTTATATGCACCACTATTTATGTCTGACTAATTCGTATGTCACCATTTACTGTACTATACTTCACTCCGCTCTGCTACTCTACCGTATTCAGTACTTACTCCCTTCCATCTACCGGCCGCCGAGTTATATAGTCCGCATCGTTGAGTCTAGAAGAATCGGAAGCCACATAGCGGCCTTCCCGAATAGTCGAAGTTGCTTCGCGTCGATCTAGATGGCGATTCGCCGCCAGGTGGCTGGTGCGGTCGTGATTTGCGTAAAAGCAGAGATCGGCCATGAAGCTCTAGCGAGTAGGAGACTCGCCCAACAGATGGCGCCGACTGTATGATTCGTCACAATATCTAAGAAATCTACGATACAAGCAGTGTTTTATTTGTTAAATAAGTATTAGGTTTTGAAATCCGTACATGGTTTCCCTATTCACTTTGAAATTCGAAGTTTGAAAGTCGGCACGGCACGGATTATCGTTCCCCGATCACAATATTTATTTTTTGAGTTGTTAAAGTTAAATGGAAAAAATAGAGGATATGCGTATCTCAATTCTAACAAAAATTTGTTTGCCCTCGTAAGCTGGGACACCCTAACGAACATGAATTAAGAGCTTAACACGACGACTATAATGTAGAGCCATAGTATTGTCGTATTCGATAATGCAAACGTGGATTGTCAACGCCGCACATTTAGCCTCTGTATAGATTGAAAAACAGTGCCCTGTTCCTTGAGTTAAAGGCGCAAAGCTCGTATAACACGTCACAACCCCCAATCTTAAGCTCTTTAAACATGCAATAATTGATGTCCTTAGCTGCTTTCCAGCCAACAACTCAAATGGGTTTGAAGCGTATGTAGTCTAATCATATTAGCAAATTTCCCCGAAATAATTGTAAAGGCTGGTTTTATTGGTGCAAGTTGTTCAAGGGGGTATTCAAAACATGGACGCATAAAATGGGATTCAATCGAAAGTGTTGACAGGAACGAAAACACTTTTCATATAAGATTTTTAGGTATTTTAGAGACCTACAAAATGAGACCACACGTAAAAAGATCCGGCTAACAGCAAACATGTTTTGGCCGAAAAATGAGGCAAAATGCTGGTTTTGCCACTTGTTGGTAATGCGACGATAATTTCACGCAACTACTTGAAATTATTCAAATCCGTAGGATTCATACTTCTAAATAACAACAAAATTCGAGTATATTGGTCAAGTAGTTTTTTGAGAATTCCTAATTGTTTATCCCAAAACACCTGTTTTCCGGCCATCACTACTAGTTTATTGAGCAACTATACAGGGTTCGTGCAAAGAGCATTTAATAGCAAAATACACGTGTTTACCTTGCCGATATGAATCACAAATCATTCCGAAAGATAAATGTTTTGTTATTTTTATGCGAAAAACGAAGGTTAGTTTTTTTCTTCTATACAAATTCCAACATTTCGTATTTGTGGATAACTGAACAAATGCGCCACGATATTCGAAAAACATACGTTACTATACATATTTTAAAACAAAGCGGGTGTGTCTATCATCTTTTGTTGCGAATTAGTCACAAATACGAAATTTTTTAATTTGCTTAGAAGAAAAAACGTAACCCATCCTTTTTTGCATAAGAATAACATTTATCTTCCGGAATGGTTTGCGGTTCATATCGGCAAGGTGAACTAGTGTATTTTGCTATAAAATGCCCTTTGAACTAACCCTGCATATTGCTCAATAAACTAGTAGTGATGGCCGGAAAACAGGTGAAAACTATTTGAGCAATTTCGTTGTAGTTATTTAGAAGTACGAATCCTAAAAATCTGAAGAATTTCAAGTTTCTGCAAGAAAACATCGTCGCATTACCAACAAGTGCCAAAACCCGGAGTTTGCCTTGGTTTTCGACCATAACTTCTTTGCTATTAGTCGGGTCTTTTTACGTGTGGTCTCATTTTGTAGGTCTCATAAGTACTTTAAAATCTTATATAAAGAGTTTTTTCGTTCCTGCCAACACTTTCGATTGAATACCAAAAAACACGTTTTGTCATTCCTTGTTGTCGAATAAAAAGTTTTCCCACAAAAATTGGTGTACCCATTTTATGCGTCAACGCTTTAAATACCTCCTTGAACAACTTGTAGCAATAAAACCAGACTTTACAATTATTTCGCAAACCAAGGGTATTTTCATCCAATATGATTAGGCTAATGGGCTTTCATGGAGGCTTCACACCCGAGATGACGCCTGAAATGTAACATAAGGTTGTTGTATTTGTCATTACTGTCAATGTCGCAGCTGGGGGCTATTTCCCTATATTTAGTTTTCATCTTGCCATCTATTTTTCTCGGTTTTCATTCGTTTGAAATATTGGTTTGATTCGTTCATTACGAAACTTCAGTTTCTATTTATTTAATTTAATAGGCAAAACTATTTTTGTATGTAAAGTGCTTCTCAATAATTAGTATGACTTAAATTACAAAGTAGATGAAAAAAGCAAGCTATTAAACCAACAGGTATTTTTTACATATTTATAACAAAGTTTATATTTTCCATGGGTATGAAGCCCCAACCAAAAGGCTGGTGCTCGAAGGGTAAGAGGGAGGCAGATTTGTGTTCTGTGCATCAAACCCAAAAATCAGTGTTTATTGTATATGCAGGGTGGCCGGTCGAAAAGGTCGCACTTCCATTTGTGACTCTCCTGGTATATTTTGGGGAAAATGCTCGCACACGTCAATTTTGATTTCTAGGGAATGTCTTTTCATCTATAGCCGTACAATACAGGGTGATCCAAAAATAAGATAATGCGTTACACTTTAGATTTTTAAATGGAAACCCTCGTTTTTTTATTTTTATATTCTCCATGAAGTTTTTAGTAACTTTTGTATAATAAAGTTTATTCCTATCTTCAATCGTTGTGAAGCTATTTGAATTTATAATAAAATTCTAGAAATTGTGATAATAAGGGATTATATCGAAAAAATAATCAATATAGTTCCCATAGGAACAACACTTTACTTCAAAATAAAAACAAGTCTCGGAGTATTGAAAAAACAAAAACAACTTACAGTTTACACGCACATTAAAGTGAAAGTAAACATTAATTTGCTATAAAGAGATAGGTCAATTGTGGTAGTAGGGAGCTGAAAGCGATGTCCATTTTCCACCATGCAATAATAAAGATTTTGTTCGAATCTATTCCTCACATTTTCAAGCATGTATTGAGTTATTTGTCTGCATTCAGCCGTAATCCGCTGACGATCTTGAATGGAATCGGTCTTCGTACTAAGAACTTTACTTCTCAAATGCCCCCAAAGAAAGTAATCTAAAGGACTTAGGTGCGGAGATCTCGGCGGCCACTCGATGGGGCCTCGTCCGCCGATCCATTGACTCGGAAAATGGGTGTCCAAAAACTGTCGTACTGAAGCCACATAGTGCGGCGGTGCGCCATCTTGTTGGTATTTTTCACTATAATTAACGTAATTTTCTATGATTTCGCTAATTCGTGGCTCTATTGTATTTTCTAACATGTCCAAGTACGTTTCATTCATTTCCGAAAATGCCGGCCCACACATTTATTTTTTCAGGACATTGCCTCAAAACAAATGTGGATTCGACAATTATGTCTATTTAGAGCACGATGTTAATAGAACCTATGCTCATCTGAGAAACAAATATTAAATAACAGATTTGCATTGTTGCTTAAACGTTGGGACATTAATTCGCAAAAATCCAACCTTCTATCAAAATTGTTTTCATTAAGCTCATATGGACAAGTTTTATCTTGTCTTTGTCTTTCAAAATTTTTTGTAGTGTTGAGCGTGTAAATCCTGAAATAGTCAGTCCACGAGTGCTTTGGTGTTGTCAAGTGCTACGTGTCCCAAAACTGCTATTTCTGCGGCTTCATTTCTAACTGGTCGATTTTCTCGATGGTGATTACGGCGAATATTAGACATAGATCCAAATTCTTCAAAATTTCTTATCAACGTAGCGACATACTTATCGTTAATATTTTGGTCTGGATGTAACGCATTAAACAACCGGGCAGTAGCTCTTGCAATGCTTCCATTTTGGCAATACAGCTTTGTTAATTCTACACTCTTTTGAATTGAATAAGTCATTGTTCAATATTTAACTAGGTAGGTAACTTAACAATGTGAAATGAAAGTCAAAGTTTTTCTATGACATACGATGACACTGACTGATGCTAAATCTTCTTGCTGGTATCCATGATTATTACTTTTTGCCGTGCATTCCATTATTATCAGTTAGTCGAATTTTATTATACACTCAAATAGCTTCATAACGATTGTAGATAGGTATTAACTTTATTATACAAAATTTACAAAAAACTTCATGGAAAATATAAACATTAAAAAAAGGAGGTTTCCACTTAGAAATCTAAATTGTAACGCAATATTTTATTTTTAGATCACCCTGTATTGTATGGCTATAGATGAAAAGCCGTCCCCCTAGAAATCAAAATTGACGTGTCCGAGCATTTTTCCCAAAATATACTAGGAGAGTCATAAAAGGGGGTGCGACCTTTTCGTTGGGCCACCCTGCAGGTGCCCAGGTGCTTGACTGCCTGCACAAAACTGCCGACCCGAAGGGGTATGGCGTAATAAATAACCTAAATCAAAGTCTGATATCTGGTGCATAGATCTTTGGGGTAGGCGTTTTATTCTCTTGCTAATCTATTTTTAGTCGATGGCGCAGAATAACACATTCAAGAATATAGAGACATGCGGGATTTTAGCGGGGAAACTTGAGCAGAACGAACTCATTGTCACTCACATGATCATTCCCAAACAACGAGGGACGTCAGACTCGTGTACAACAACTAATGAAGAAGAGATATTTGATTACCAGGATCAATTGTCCCTTATCACACTTGGGTAAGTTATTTTCTTACAAAATAATACAATGAGCGACTTATTTAACATTCATCCACGGTGGGACGAATACTCAACGCGTGGGAATGTGAGTTAGTAAGAATCTTAGACAGAAATGCATCCTGTACAGGGTGGCCAGCTAGGAATGCGAGGTACTGTATATGGGAACCTATTCATCGTAGACGCTTGCAGCAAAAACAGTTCTTACTAAAACCGGGAAAATAATTTCAAGTTTCTGAAATGGCCGCTAGGGGGCGTTACTGCAATCTTGAATCTAAAAATGTGATGTTTCTGTAAATTCCCGTATATAGTGAAAGCTCTCTTAACGGACAGCTCTATATAAGCGACCATCTTCCTTAAGCGGAAAAAATTTTTGGAACCGATTTGAGTCCTATATTTTGACATAGAAAGTACACTCCAATAAGCGGGCACTCTAATAAACGGATGCGGGCAGCAATTTTTGCACATAGGACCAAATAATATCTCCTATAAGCGATCGCGAAGCTCTAATAACCGAGCAAATGAAGTTAACCATTACTTTAATATGGCCATTCGGTGATTCCTCGCGAGGTTTTGGGGGATTTACAGTATTACACGATCACAAGTTGTTGTGTTAGAGGTTAGAATTTAGAGTTAGCAGTTTAGCAGTGTTAGTCCTGTTGTTTGTGTTTTAGTGTGCACTTTTAATTTATAATATGCCGCCGAAAAAGCGAATGTTGACGCTAAATGAAAAGATGGAAATTGTGAATGTTATTTATAAGGAAGAATTATCAACTCGGGCTATAGCATTGCGATTCAATATAGGAAAGACACAAGCGATGTTTATTGCAAAAAATAAGGAGGATATCCGACGTTTGTGGGAGTCTGGAGTAAATGAACAGCAAAAAAGAAGTTTTTGAAGGACCGAAGCCTTAAACATCGATAAAGCCTGTTTTGAGTGGTTTATTAGTGCTAGAAATCGAAGAATACCCATATTTTGGGGGGCTTGTAAAAGAAAAAGCAAAGTAAATTGCACAAAAATATGGTTATCAAAAGTTTAGTGCATCCGATGGGTGGCTTCAAAAGTGACGTAAAAGAAACAATGTTAGTTTTAAATGCATTTCTGGTGAAGCGTCCGATGTAAATCAAGAGACAGTCGATGCATTTATAGAGAAACTTCCTTCATTGCTTTTCGGATACCAATGCGAAGACATTTACAATGCCTACAAAAGCGGTCTATACTTTCGTGCGATTTCGGATAAGACACTGTCTTTAAAGTCTGAAAAGTGTTCGGGGGGAAAACTGTTAGTAATTGGCAAATCTGCACGCCCTCGAGCATTGAAAAAAAACATTAAGGATTTACTTGTTATGTGGAAGTCAAACAAAAAAGCCTGGATGACACGCGAAATAATGGGTGAGTGGTTAGCCGAGTTGGATCGAGAAATGGGCATTAAAAATAGAAAAATTCTGCTATTTTTAGACAATTCTGCATCTCATCGTCGAGACTTACATCTAAAAAATGTTTTGCCTTCAAACACAACAAGCATGGTCAGCCAGTGGATCAGGGCATCATTAAAAAATTTTAAGTTTCATTATCGTATCAGACTTTAAAACAAACTTTATTATGTGTTAAATCATCCTCCGTAGAACAAGGTGGTGAATCTAAACAAGAAAATGAGACGAATGACGAAATTGAGGCGATTCAAGAAGAGGAAAATAAAGTAAAAAGCTATGATGGAGCCTCAATTTATTTAAAAGAACTGAAAAACTTCGCAAAAGATGACTATGTTGCCTTTGAACAATTTAAAAATTTGGAATGTCATTTCCAGAAATGTCTAGATGATGCAAAGCAAAAAAAAATTAAGCAGGCGACTATTCTAACATTTTTTCAAACTGTTTCTAAATAAGTTTTCTGCCCTTTTGTTGTTTTTAAAAAAATTGTTTTTACATGTCATCAATACATATGTATGTACGTATTTCAATATACATACATATGTAATTATAAATTATAATTTTATGTACAATATGTACATACATGTCTTATAATAAGATTTAATTTAATATATGTAATATACGTATATTTGTTAGGTTTCTTTTAAACAGTCACCGCCAATAAGCGGGCAAAAAAGCTGGAACCATAGCTGCCTGCTTATGAGAGCTTTCACTGTATTAACCTAACAAAAAAATACCTGATCTTTAAATTCAAGGATAATCTGAACCTTTTTTGTTTGACGATTTTTGTTGTAGCTTTAAAAATAAAGTAGTGGGGGTATTCAAAGGTTTCCTTAAAAAACACCCTGTATCTTCGAAACAGCTGAGCCGATTTTAACAAACTTGGGCTAGTTGAAAAGAGCTATTCTTGGGATACAAATCGTATAATACTTGAAGTTTTGTTAGTTTCACATGGGGCTAAAGGCATTTTTTCGACATTCCGACAGAAATGGTTAATTTTCTAAAAAAGTAGCTAAATAATGTCTAAACAAGTTCGCGAAAACTGAATCTCGATATCTTGTTCCTAACTTAAAATTTAGCCCAAAGAAAAGTTTATACGGAAGTCCCTTCATTTTTATTGTTTATAAAATTAAATTTCCTGGTTTTTTTTATTATTAACTCGTGACCCTACAAAGGACCGCTTTAAAAAATAAAGGTTTTTAAATGATCGAACTGCTGACCACGCTCTATGCATTCCTGAAGCCTCTCATGAATAGACAAAATTGCATAAATAAAAATCAAGACAAGTTAAGTCTGGTGATCGCGCCATGGAAACAGAGTTCCTGTTCCAATCCACCGCTGTTAAAATACTGCATTAATATGCTCTCGCACAATAATAGCAAAATGTGCTGGGCGATCGTCCAATTGCAAAAAGAAGTTTTGCAGTGTTTCCAACAACAACGGTAATTCATTGTCCACAAAGTCAAGAAAGACATTGCCATTCAGGGATTGCTCGAAATAATATGGCCCAATAATTCTGCCTCCCAGTATTCCACACCACACATTTACACTCCAATCCCCTTATCAACCAACAATGCATATCGTGCAGATTGACTCTCCCGTCACTATTAAAGGTGGCTTTATCGGTCCAAAGAATTTGAAATAAAAATTCTAAAGGTAATTAAAAAAAAGTTAAATGTAAATAAATCTCTATATTTTGATGGCCATTAGAACTTACCTATGGCCCTTCAAAATATTCTGAACCGTTGTTCGTGATATGCCCAACTCAAAGGATAATGCCCTTGTGCTAAGATGACGACTTCCTTCAATATATCCCCGTACGCGGTTAATTTTTTGTTGTGTTCTTCCAATTCTTTGCCGAAAACTACTATTGGCTCGTAAGCTGGCGACTAATCGGGGAAAAACTCTCACATCTCAAAGACGTCAATTTGGATAACGAGTTGCGTAAACTTTTTTGCTACTGCGGAATTTTGAAGACATTCAAAATAAACTGCAAGCATATCAACAGCTTCATCGTTCGTAAAACGCATTTGGCAAGCACTAAAATTGCTCAAAGTAACAATTTGAAGATTATTTATTAGGTTTTTGTTTTGTTATCCAGCGCCTGTGTCTTTTTCGTATCCTATAAGTACCACTACAAACTTAAGGAGAAGGTAGGCTTTGGACTGGCCTCCCAAATAACAAAAACTTACCTAGATAAAGTGTCACCGTTTTTGTAATATTGAATTTTTTCTTAAATTAAAAAAAAAACGAACCTTTTCATCTGTGGTCTTTAGCTGCATGTACAAATAAGGTTATACTTTGTTCATTTTTTCTATAAAATACTTCTAGATAGTTGTTTTATCATATACCAATGCAATGTAGTTAAAAGATATGAAGGAACCATGATAAAATAAGGACTGTTTTGGGATTTATAACTTTTTGATATTGTTTCCTCAACTTTGACCATCTGTGGTGAAACAAAAATGTACTGGGCTATAACTGCATTATATTGAATAAAAAGATTGCTCATCGAATACAGATTTCAGAAAGTAATAGCTGCTTTTGTAAGTTACTGACACACTCTATAATGTAATTATTGGATTTAAATTAAAGTAGCACTGGTTACCGATCAGTGACATGCTAAATAGTACAAAGCTACCCCAACTAGCAAAGTAGTGTTATAAGCTTTTGGTAAAAGAACCGTTCAGCCATAAAAGCTCTCTATTATTGTTGTCTGAACACCAAAATGCTGGCTTAATGTTGTGTGGAATGCAAATTTGCTTTCTGTAACATATTTGCTCTAAAATGAGGTGTATAAAATATTCTTATAGCATAGTTATACAACATCTTATAGGGCAAATTTTTAACTGTTGCATAAACGTTGATACAACTATTTTATACGGCATATTTGCACGTTAGTCAAAATGGTTGTGCTGTGGCATCCATGGTCACGTTTATAAAACAAACCGGAGCCATATTGTTTTGCTGTGCAATTTACTACTTTAGCCAACAAATTGCTCCCAACGGAAGCACTTATACAACTCTTGTTTAGTAACTGTTAAAGGCTGTACATATGCTAAATATGTTGGTATACAACTTCACCATAACCTAACTTTCTGCTGTCATATTTTTGTTAAAATGCCATAACCAATGTTTTAAGACAAACAACGCATGCATATTGGTTCAAAAGGTTTTATCAACTGTTCAAACAGATGATATAGATCTGGTACAAATTCTGGGCAAATCATTCGACTCTGTCTGTATTTCATTTCAGACATTTGTCAAATTGTTGTATAACACCTGCAGGCAACACCAAAATATTCTAATAAACTAAAGACAACATGGACGATGCCATGATTATACACAACCACCCGGCATATTGGGCAAACATATTCCTCTATTTAATATTAAATAATTATGTTTCAGTTCGAAATTAAGGATATAAAGTGATAGTCATTAGTGTAATTGTGCCTGAATATAGGATTTGTGGAGGATTTAACGCAGATAAGTTCAGTTTTCCATCTTAAAAATCTAGACATACTTTTGATCATGATCAAAATATGAATCAAATACGAAGCCCGTAGAAATTGCGTAACTACTTCGCACGACAATCACAATAAAATTTGCTACGCAAGTAATTCAATAGTCCTATATCACAGTGTAGAAGTTTATCATATAGCTGTGTATGAAATTCGCAATGGCCGATATGTAAGTAAACAAGATATAATGTGTTAGTTATATATTCTTCACTTCGTCTATACAATATATTAGAAATAGTTTGGTTGCAATAAAGTAGAATCATGTAACATAATATTTGTATAGTTGACAAAAACTGAATATTGCACTGTCGCAAATGTCCTATAGCGGGTGCAAGAGGCTTACACTTTTGTTGTATAACTGTTATCTGCAGCCCTTATACAACCTCTTAAATGACTGAAGTGTCCTATTAGGTGTGCCCATTCCGCTTGTATAGGTGTTCTAAGAGGGTTTTGCCAATGTTCTTACAGTGAACAATGCTGTGTAAGGGATACTGTATAATCATTATTGCAACTCTAATAGGAGTGATAATTGTTAGTTGGGACATTATTATTACCTGCTCCTGATATGATTTTATGAAAGTTGAAACAATATCAGAAGGTTATACATGTAAATCCCAAAACAGTTCTTATTTTATCATGGTTCCTTAATATCTTTTAACTACATTGCATTTGTATATGATAAAGCAACTATCTAGAGAAGTATTTTATAGAAAAAATGAAAAAGTATAACCTTATTTGTACATGCAGCTAAATACCAGAGATGAAAAGGTTCGTTTTTTCTAAATTTAAGAAAAAAAATTCAATATCTCAAAAACGGTGACACTTTTATATAGGTAAGTTTTTGTTATTTGGGAGGTCAGTCCAAAGCCTACCTTCTCCTTAAGTTTGTCGTGGTACTTATTGGACACCCTGTATACCATAGTGAATATGCATTCAAACAAAAAATATGCCTTTTGTTATTAGCATTACTTACTTACCTTTTAGCGATATTTTGTAATATTATCAAGAAAGGTGATTTTATTCTAATGAATAAAAAAGAATTCTAGAAATTCTAACAACTAACTAAACCTCAAATATTATAACATTTGTAGCCCAAGAATATCTCTTTTCAACCAGCCCAAGTTTGTTAAAATTGGCTCAGCCGTTTCGAAGATACAGGGTGTTTTTTACGAAAAGCTTTGAATACCCCCCACCAGCTTATTTTTAGAGATACAGCAAAAATTGTCAAAGAAAAAAGTTTACATCATCCTCAACTTTAAAGATCAGGTTTTTTTTTGTTGGGTTAATGTAGCGGAATTCACAGAAACATCACTGTTTTAGATTCAAGATTGATAATAAAGGGTGTCCCAAAATTAACGCAAGATTTGAATTTGCCGCCATTTGTGCAGTGAAGTGTTGGCAACCCTGAAAAAAAGCAATTTGACAGCTAACAGTATAGGGTTATAAAAAATGGAGCGTTACACGATAGAACAACGTGTCTTCATTATTAAAGAATATTTCAAAAATAGTGAAAGCTTGGCGGCTGCAGTTCGAAAATTTCATACAAAATATGGCCGGAATAGTGTTTTAACTTCGTCAACTGTGAAGAGATTAATTGAAAAATTCATGGAGACTGGATCCGTTGGAGACGCCAAACACACTGGTCGTCCAAAAACAAGCCGTTCAAATGTGAATATCGAAGCAGTGCGTGAGAGTGTTGCGGACAATCCAGGAACCTCAATTCGACGTCGTGGACAAGAATTGCAAATGTCAAGAACCTCTCTACAGCGTATACTCACCAAAGATCTGTGTCTTCATGCTTACAAACTTCAATTAACACAACAATTGAAGCTTAATGACCATGCAGAGAGAAGAGAGTTTGTTGAATGGATTATTGAACATCAACAAATGGACCCTGATTTTTCAAGCAAAATCATCCTAAGCGATGAAGCACATTTTCATCTTGATGGCTTTGTCAATCGCCAAAATTGCCGCATTTGGGGTTCGGAGAACCCACGTGTGATTGTCGAAAAAGAAATGCACCCACAACGCGTGACTGTCTGGTGTGGATTTTGGGCTGGAGGCATAATTGGGCCATATTTTTTTGAAAATGATGCTGGTCAAGCAGTGACTGTTACTGGTGCTCGATATCGCGACATGATTACACAGTTCTTTCTGCCAAAATTGAATGATATTGATGTACCCAATATGTGGTTTCAACAAGACGGTGCCACATGTCATACAGCCCGTGAAACAATTCAATTACTGCATGAGACATTTCCCGGTCGTGTACTCTCTCGTTTCGGTGATCAAAATTGGCCTCCTAGATCGTGTGATTTAACACCATTAGACTTCTTTTTATGGGGTTATTTGAAATCACAAGTCTATGTCAACAAGCCCACAACCACCCGTGCATTAAAGGAGGAGATTCAACGCTGCATCAACGAAATTCAGCCACATTTATGCAGAAGGGTCATGGAAAATTTCGACAAAAGAGTGCGCATGTGCATGCAAAGCCGTGGAGGCCATTTGTCCGATGTGTTATTCCATACATAACCCTATCCTATGTACTTTATGAGTCAATAAAAATATAACTATTAAAAGACTAAAAATGGCATTTTCTATTTAATTCAAATCTTGCGTTAATTTTGGGACACCCTTTATTTCTTAGGTTCTTTTTTGCCACAAGGTTCCCAGATACAGTACCTCGCATTAATATATAAAAATTATCATAATAAAGGATTATCTTCCTCAAACATTATTTTTTCAAGAAGGTTAACATTATCGTCCACTTTAAAGATGAGTTATTTTTTGTTAGGGTAATATAGCGGAATTCTCAGAAATATCACTTTTTTAGATTCTAGATTGCAGCTACGCCCCCTAGCGGCCATTTCAGAAACTTGAAAATACTTTACAGGTTACTCTTGGCCGTTTTAGTAAGGAACTTTTCGCCGCAATGGGGACCATGGATGGATTAGAGACAAGCCTCATACATCGGTGACCGCGAGTGGTCTGCCTCCCAACTTTGTCGAACAATCTGCCTTAAGTTATTTTTTTCTATTCTGCTATCATTAGGCAGTTCGAACATCGGATTAACAAGGCATTTTCAAGTTCCTTATCGCTATATTCATGTTTATGTGCACGCGCCTGCTTCAGTATAAAAAAGCGGGTTTGGTAGTGACGCGCTTGGAAAGGTAATGGCTGTACCCCACTATGCCCTTTTGGTAATTTGAATTGACTTTTGCGCTATATTCCAGTGTTTTTTAGATTTTTATCTCTTTCCAGCTGGATCCACACTCATCCAACCCAAACAGCCTTCCTATCTTCAGTAGACCTGCATACTCATTGTCCATATCAGTTGCTCTTACCTGAGGCTGTAGCTGTGGTATGTGCCCCACGTTATGGTGATGCAGGCTTTTTTGCACTCACAGATTATGGCTTAAGGTAAGGTTACTATATTTAAGTTGTATTCTTTTTATGCTGAATGATATCCTTAATACATAATATAGCAAATTTTATTTACAGATATATAGCATCATGTCGAAAAACAGGTTTCCATCCGCATCCCACCGAGCCACATCTGTTCGAGAAGGCCGAGCACGTTCGAGTGGATCAATCGTCGCCTCTTGAAGTAATCGACCTTAGGGACAAATAAATTGCACTGACGCGGATTGAGGCAGGCTGATCAATAGATTGGGTCGCCGTATACCATTTGATAGAGTACTTGTCGCTAAAGACAAAATTGAAATACTTGATATTTATACCATTGATTTCTAAACCATGTATCAACTGTAGTTCACGAGAAGAGACTATAGGTCTGTGAAAAACTATGAAAAAGAAGTCATTTTACATGAAGAAAAAGTTGGCAAACCATATGATGTTTTTCTGGTGGCATCGATTTGCTTTTCACTTAATGATATCGTGGAAGATCTGCTACAACAAATCCATGCTGTAATAGCAATTTAAATAGGCACAGCTTTGATAATAATACGTAGTCGTGCCATAAGTTCTGTCCCATGATAATCTCATGATAAAAATGAAACAAGATAAGATATATTTATATGAAAGATATTATTTATTCGACAACATTTTTAGAATTCATAATCAAACAGTTTTATTCAAAATGTCCCCCCTTGGCCTTCACACACTGCTTCAATCTCGCGGGCCACTCATCTATCACTGCACGCACAGCTTCCAAAGGAATAGCTGCCGCTGATCGGATCAAATCCGCTTTCAGGGACTCGATATTACGGTGGGCTTTGGAGCAGGCCAACTGCTCTAGCAGGTCCCACAACTTGTAGTCTAAAGGATTGAGGTCCGGACTCCCTGAAGGCCAATCTTCCGCAGCAATGAACTCTGGCACATTGCTTTCCAGCCAGCGCTGCGTACTCTTAGCCTTGTGAGCGGGGGCGGAATCCTTCTGGTAGACCCAGTGTTGGTTGGCAAACAATGTACCACTTAAAGGCTTGACGATAGGATCCAGTATGTCGCTCTGATAGTTTGCCGCTTTTGTTTTCACGCCCTGTTTACAGAAATGGAGCTGAGTGACCCCTTCGTAGGACACCCCCCACCAAACCATGACTGACGCAGGGTGGTGGCCTCTCTCAACTCTCGGAATGATCTCCGAAGCTTCCTGTGAACTCCTTGCATACACTTTGTCATTTTGTCGGTTGAATTTTTCTTCTATGGTGAAGATTTTCTCATCCGTGAACAAAATCTTTCGGAATCCCCCAGCTGCGTACCTCTCCAAGAGCTTCTTGGATCTTGTCGCCCTGATGTGTCGCAAGGTGGCCGTAAGTCGCTGGCCCGTACGTCTCCGGTAAGCCCCTAGCCCTAGGTCTTGTTTAATGATGCGCGACATCGTCCGGACAGGAATCTTCATTTCCCTGGATAGGATCTTCTGCTTCCGGAGTGGATTCCTTTGAATCCTGGCTTTTACGGCTTTGATGGCTGCTGGAGTCCTTACTTGACGAGGTCTTCCGCTTCTTGGCCTGTCATCAACAGAGGACGTCTCATTGTACCGCTGAATGGTCCTAGACACAAATTTACGCGATATTTGAAGGCCGCGTAAGAGTTCAAAAATCTGACTAGCACTGTGATTACACTTATGTAAAGCTATCACTGCAATACGGTTCTCTGCCTTGCCCCACTCCATCGTTATGCTTCGAGAGATCAATACAAACTGAGGTATATGTAATTACCCGAAAAGCGCTTAATCAACTGACACCACAATGTAAACAATCGGACAAGTATTAACAGGTCTACACTTGTTTGAAAACGAGGGACAGAACTTATGGCATGACTACGTACATAAACATAACTGACAAATAATTGTAAATCTACAGAAGTACGGTGAAATCTCCTTTGCACGGAAACGGGAACGACTGAAAGTGCCTGTTCAAGAGGGGTGTCCGTATAAAAGAAATACAACAAAAATCGTGTTTTCAATAAAAACGGAATATATTGAATAAATTGGGGCATTTAAAAAGTATATGTATACAAATGTTTTTAAAATAAACAAAAAACTTTAAAATCAAGAAAAAAAAAGGTTTGTTACCTTTAGATATGTACAAAGTATGTACACACATATGTATAATACAGGGTGTCGTATCGGGAACTCCATCCATAGATTTCTCGAAAAGTAGGCATATAATATTTTTGAAAATTTGGGAGTATACTATTGTCGATGGGGCAACGGCAGCTAAAATATTTTCAAGATGCCGGTTATACCAGAAGTTGATGCCAACTTGCTTATTTTAAATTGGACATGCTATATGTGAACCCTCGCTTCGTCGGTTACAATATACGTGTACAAAGTCCCTATCACATGATAGGAATGTGTGGCCACTTTGTGGAAACTTGTGCACTATCTCGTCGAAATACCCTTTGGCTACCAAGGTAATATAAACAGCCAAAATACCCTGGTTTTTATTCTGCCCCCCGCAGTTATCGGACCATAAAACCAATTTTCGCTTTGTAGTATTAAGCTGAGTTGTAACGTAATCATTAAAGACCGGATTTATAAGCACAAAATTATCAAAAAAAAGTGCTTAAAAAAGCTTCATATTTTAAAAAAAAAGCATCACATTTTGTAAAAAAAGCAAATATAAGTGGATCTTAAAATAATGCAAAATATATTTTTGTATGTATTTAATTCACAAATAAAACAAAATAAACACTTCAAAACAGTAGAAATAAAACTTTAAACACTTTTTAACAGCTTAAGATAAATATAAGATAAATAAATATAAATATAATTTAATCGTTCTGAAAACAGCTTATTATTAAATACTGTTCCAAATGCTCCACTGTCAAATTATGCCTTTTATCGTCTAAGATATATTTATACTTTGAAAAGCTCCTTTCCACGTCTACACTTGTAATAGGAGCGTATTTAAACTTTGAAATAATATCTGGATACATATTTAATTCTGGAACATTTTCGCCACCTAAAACTGACGATATTTGAACCAGTTTCTGAAATCCAATATTTTTTTCAAAAATCTCTCTCATTCTATTTTTAATTAAGCCGCCAATTTTTCCTGGAACAGTATTAATAGTGTTTTTGAAATCCTCTATTAAAGCAACTGAATCAACCAAAGGAACTTGTTGCTTTTCCAATGATTTAATAGTTTTGCTAATGCAACTGAAGTTGGTTTTGATAAAAGCCAAATTGTTTTGGAGCTCTCTATTGTTAAGAACGATCTGACACTCTTGTACTGATTTACTTGTGCTTTCGGAAAATTCAAAAATCAAATTTTTAAAATTTTGGAAATGGTCTGCATAATATATAGCGGCGTCAAGCCATGTTCCCCATCTGGTTAACACTGGTTCTGGAGGCAGTGGAATATTTGGACAATGTTCTCTAAACATTTGTACTCTCAAAGGCGCTTTAACAAATATTTTTTTGCCATCGCTGATCAACTTATTTACTAACGGAAATATGGTTTCGGCAATACGATTGATCCCATGAGCTAAACAGGTGAATTAAGTTGCCGTAAAAAACTTTCAAGTTTGTGGACGCCTTAACCATGTAAGAAGCTGCATCTGAGAGCATAAGTAGTACTTTTTCACTTGGTACAGCTTCTGGCAAAAAGAAGTTTGCTAACCCTTCATGTACAAATTTTGATACAGTGTTACTGTTTGTTGTGCTCAATTCTTTTGAACTAATTAAATATCCCTTTGTAGGAACCTCGTGGCACAAAACGCCTATCATTAAGTTTGCAATATACCGCCCACAACTGTCTGTAGTTTCATCAACAGTAAACCATATATAATTGCTTCCAATTATTGTTCTAATTTGTTGAATTGTATCGCGATATACAGGATAAATATAGTTTTTGCGTAAAGTACTTTCATCTGGTATATTTCGTTTGCAGTGTTTTTCCAAAAATTCTTTAAAGTGAGTGTTTTTCAACTTGTTTAAAGGAATATTTGATTTTAACATTTCATTGCAGAGATCCTGATTAAATTCTTGTTGTTCACTACGGCCCGAAGCAGATGCCATGGAAGAACCAATTGTTAGTTGTTTAAGCTTATCAACTTTATACTTCTTCATTTGTTCCGAGTGTACTTTCGTTTTCAGGTGTTTTCGTACTTTTTAACACACACAATCTACAATAAATGAAGTATTTTTTACTTGATGCCTGTATAAAAATTAATGGCTGATGCATCGTCCTAGGACATACAGGAAATCTCATCTCATGAAATTTTTTAAAGTATTGGATTATTTATTTTGTTAGATTAGAATACCTGCCAAACTGATTAGTGATTACATGGGCTCATTCATATTTTTTTTTAAAATCAATTTTGACCTACCTAAAATAAAGTCTAAATAGAAAAAACATGATTGTACAAATGCACAAATATGCACAAATAAATAAAAAGTGTGCATGAGTTCAGCTATTTTTGTACTATTCGCAAAATGTGGCTGAACTGCAATTATTTTTTTAATTGAGTATCATTAATTTATGAATGCAGCTACTAGTAACTATCGAAATCAATGACAGCTTACCTTTGACATTGGTTAGATTAACAATATATTTTTTACAAAAACAGCTTAGCAGAATTAGTGTTGCGAGCAATGGAACATTCCCATTTATTCTCAGAGATCGTTCGCGACTTTATTTGTGACATTTATTTTCAAGAGCATAAATCCGAACCCCAAGAATTTTAACGTTCCCATAGCATTAGCGTTAACATTAGGTATGAACGGTCCTTTAGCAACGAGACGTTGCAACACCGGATCGCCTCGCATTAGGTTGGCTGTCGTCGATCGTTGACACCAATGACATCTGACAGTGTTGGTTTTCGGGGATTTACAGATCGGTTTATTTTATGCTTTGAATTTTAAGAGATTGCATAAGTGTTTTAAGACATAAGTGGATTGATATTATTTTTAACTTAATAAATAGAGCACAATTAGAGCGCAGACTTTTTTGATTTCAGATATTTTCCTAATATGTTTCCTTTGTTTTATTTTTCTTCATTTATACTCGTATGTACTGAAAATTTTCGTTCGTGCTCGAGGAACGTTCTCGAAAAAAAATTCTCGAACATTTTACAACACTAAGCAGAATGCATTCAAGTTTGGTAGGTAGGATTAATATGGGATTTTCTATGTGCTCTAGGACTAATCATAATCAATAATCATCCGGTATACCTAATGTTATGAAAAACTTACCGTTTTTATGCAAGCTTGACAAAATACTTTTCCATTTTCAATTTTTAATTCCGGGTTATCCTTGATCCAGACCTTGAGGTTAGTATAATTTACTTTTGACATCTTTGATTATTTACGCACAGTATTAGGTCACCACAAAAAATTATTTAATTATTCACTTGTACTTGGAGGATCGGTGACACGGTATACGATCTGTTATTTATTTAAAATATCTTAACCATGAGCACCCTACTAGCAGCCTAGAATTGCGTATCGCACATCTGTTTTTAGAATTGCACGAACACACAAACACTGATCGGGGTTTCACCAGAGAAATGGAGGAGGGAGAATGAGTTTCGAAGAGTGTGCATCATTTCAAGGGACCGCCATTTTCTAGGCAACTCTGTTCTTAATGAAATTTTTAACAATGTGAAGTGATAAAACTTTGTGTACTTTAGTGACTTCGGTTCGAATCAACGAGACATTCTGTAAATTCCTACATGTATTTCTACTAAAACCAGCATTAAAGAACTAAAAAGATACTTTTTGACGCTCTTCCGTAAGCTCACAGTAAACAAATTTTCTATACAAAACGACTACGTTTTAACACTCCCAGACAAGTTTTTACTAGAAAATGGCGAAATTTATGATTAGTTCGTTCGCGCATCGAAATAGTTATTCTCCCCCACTCCATATCTCTGACGTGTCGCGTCGCGTCCGTCCCAGTTTGAGGAGCACTTTTGGTTAAGCCTTTGAATAGGTAGAAAAAAATAAGATATTTAAAGAAAAAAGTTCAAAATAAGCGCAAATTTAGAAAATAAGCTTGAAATTAAGAAAAAAAGCAAAAAAAGCACTTTTTTTTGAAAAACTAATAGTTTTTTTTATTTACTTTGTACTTAAAACGGCATTACTTATATACTGCTTACAAATTGGCGTATAAGCAAAATTGCTTAAAATCCGGTCTTTAGTAATCATACAAACAACTACCGATTTCGTTACATCCTCGTTTTCCAGCTGTTTCATCCCATAGGTACATAAAACCTTTTCCTTCATCTTCAAAATGTATTCCCAGATTAATACAAGTAAACTGCCGACTATAGTACATCTGCGTATGAGTCAATGCTGGAATATTTAACTGCTTTTGTAAATCGTAAGACAGCACACAGACATCAGAATCAGGACTTTTGCAATCTTCTATGTTTTGGGACATCATTTTTTGAGCACTTTCTGCTTTACGTTGATGTAATTCTCGCTTTAGTTCGAATTCATTTTTTTCCACGGGAGTCTTACTAGCAGCTATAGAAATTTTGTACTGGTCGCAAGTAGGACAGGTGTCCACTCTTGGGGCTCCAAAGGCTAAACTGAATTCTTTCTTGAAAATTTCATTAAACCATTGTCGGGAGACTGGGGGCTTTGTTCCATCAAGCCGATGTTTTTCAAGAAAAGCATTATATAGTTTACGAACAGTTAACATCTTCAGAGAGGTATCTTCGGTTTGTTACCTTTTCTCGACTGTAATGGCTTTCTCTGCTAGGAATTGACGCAATAAAATCAATAATTTTGGGTTTCCATAGGGTTTTGTTTCTGGCAGGACGTTTACCACCTCGTCTATCTTGAACAGATATGCCGGAGGAGAGTATTCGCTGACTAAGTATCTCCAGTCTTCTTTTCGTAATAGCCAAAGTTAAACACAAGGTAATTTTACATACCTGAACTTCAGATTCTCCTGGAAGTGGTATAAAGTATTTAAATGAGTGTTGTCGTCTGCTCTTTTTGGAATTATCGTAAGTTCCATGTCTTCTACGTTTGATTAAAGTAGGTCGAATAAGGGAACGTAAAAAATTCTGCTGCTCATTATAATCTGCCAGTTTCCAAAACTGCTCAAACAATCTTTTTCTTGCAACAGCAGTAATTAGCTTACAAGAATACTGACAGCTGCACTTTACCTAAAAGAATATTTCAATTATATTAATTTCCTTCAGGAAACTGAGCTCCATACGCTCTTCAAAAAAAAGTGTTTACTTACCTCTTCGCAAAAACGTTTTCCAGGTATTGCTCGCTTTTGCTTTAAAGTTAGATATGGACTTCCAGAGTTTTTATTATGTTTTACATCTTCTCTTACGTTTCCAGTAATTTTCCTTTTTTTGGCACGTATATCTTCAGGAATATTCATTTTTTTCGAAAACAGTACACTCGAACACCGCTCCAAAAGCTTTGCTAGGTTATGTTAAATAAGCAGCTGTTTGTTGGCACTTACTATGTTTTGATATTTAATGCCTTACATCGCCGCTAGGCAAAGCGCCATTGATATAAATTTTATTGTACAAGTAAAGCATGGCACATACTCCCTATTAAGCTTATAATCCGCATTTGTGAAAAAGTGGCACTTACAACGTTTTGCATATGGCACGCTTCAGTTAGTAATCATCCAGTAAAGTTAAGTTAAACTCTTTTGCTTCATCCAAACAAGAAATCATCCTACATGAAACCATTTTTTTATAATATTGTTTAAGTCATATGATGAAGAATTCTGAACGGAAATTTAATCGAAACCGCGTCTACCCAAAGAATAATAACGGTAAATTCCCGACCAACTCGGGAAGTTCCTAATTCACGCCGGATGCCGGGCAGAAATGCACCACATAGGCTGCGCTTTACTCGAGAAAGTCCCAGCGAAGATGGCGCGCGGCATGATTGAGAAATGCAATAGCGATACTCTCAACAGAAAAAAATAAGACAACGCGTTTCTTTTTATTTTGTTTTTTTGCCCGGTTAAGGTGAACATTTTCTCGTGTCCGCGTCAGTTAAAGAGAATGTCCGTCCAAGAGAGAGTTAATACAATGCAAATTATATGAGAGTTGGTCGGGACCACGAGAAACTGTCCGTTTAAAGGAGGTGTCCGTGTAAGATGGGTATCCGCGAAAGGGAATTTCACTGTAATTGTAAACCTTTACAAGTACCTACATGTTTCAGAGATATACTACAGGAAAGACTACCCTTACTAAAAGTATTAGTAAAATTCACTTGCAAAAGACAATGACCAAAAGGGAAGATAAATATTGAAAAATCTGGCACTGACTTGTTTTTGTAACCGTATAGTAGTAGCCTATTGTTCTGTATGATAAGGTTTGCCATGCACGACTGATAATTATTATTAATTGGTCTTGATTCTGACTTTAAATCAAGGTATCTATATGAATCTGCTCTGTTTCTGAGTTCGGTTTTTAAAAGGTAAATGGTATGCGGCTTCTCGGAACGATAGGCATTACTGAGGCCGTGCTTTACCGATGTTTCAAAAAATGCTAGTCTAGCTTTTATATATTTTATATGACCTTTAAAGAAAAAAATTGATGATCAAAGTTAATCAAGTACCCCGCACATTCCAATAAAAGCATCTAATTTTATATTATTTATCACGTTGAAGTAAGCGATACCTGGTTAAAATAATTTACAATTTCGAAAAAAATGACTTTGTTGTTTCAAGAGCATTTCAAATTTGACGTCTATATACGTCCTGTCAATATCTAAGTGAATTTATATATATATATATATATTGCCAGGACGATATACGTCAATAGTTTGAAAAGGGTAATATAGGTATTATAATGAAACAACAACCATAAATAGAAAATATTTGATTCTATAGGAACCTGTGTTCAAAAAAATCTAAAGAAAATGAAACAAACATTTACTACATATAATGAAATTATTATCCGTCGTTCACTGGTCGTGCCATTCTTCAAAACAAATTGGGCAAAGAGGCGGTTTTTGGTTACAGCCAACTGGTTTCCCGTCATATATTTTTTAGTGCACATTCTACACTTCAAAAATACTGACTTTTTCAAAGACTTGTCTCCAGGAGTTCCCGGATTTTTTTCAGGCCAATGTCCTTGTAGTCCCTGTGCAATATTTTGAACTTGATCTGATTGGTTAAAACGGCGGCTGCCATGTTTTTGTGCACGATTGATATTTTCTCTGTCTACATTGGTAGGTAGCTTGACTAGAGATGTAATTAGGCTCTAAATTGCACAGAACGGTATTTACGTGAATCGCCTATGCAATATTTTCTATATAGAAAAAAAGAATTCCACGTAGTCAAGTCAAGCAGATACAACATAGTCTTTTTATATCATCTAATGGTTTTCCTTGCAGTGGCATATGTAGGTTGATGTCATCTGATCGCATCGATCCATACCTGACATGTGTTCGTTATATGTGGCTTCGGGCTTATTTTTTTCTTGCCATACCTATTCGTTACTGTGATCATACGTGGATCATTTCTGGTGGTAATCACTAGAATATCTCGTTTATCTTTCCATTTGGCCACATACACTTGCTTTGTTCTCATCTAAAAATGTTCACCGCGCTTCAATTTTTTTTTTACTAGAACTCTTGGATTACCTCGACGATTAGACCTGAGGGTACAATTAGTATGCGTCTTTGGTCTCAATATTCTCAATAGTTTTTCCATAAACAATTCGTGCGCCTTTCAGTAGGTAAGGTTTCATTAGCCGCAGAACTAACTTTTCTGTTAAAGAAAAATGGCCATGATTTTCTTTTTCTGTTTTGCTGTTATCTTTAGTGTGGTCACTGCGGTGCCCACTATACATTTCCATATTCAACAAGTATCCATCAGATGTCATCAACTTATTAAATTTTATTCCGTTGCGGTCTTTCTTGTTCTTGATGTAGACCCTAAATCCTAGCCTGCCTCGAAAACGTAGCAACGATTCATCCAGAGACAATTCTGTGTTAGGTCCATAAGCTTTTTGATATTGATCTATAAGCGTGTCTAAGAGCATCTGAATGTTTTCTTTTCTTTTGATTTTTGGCGCTGAACAGCATAAAACCCTAAGTAAGTACATGTTCAAAACTTACCACACCAGGGTGGAGGTCAATCGGCGTTACTGTCCTTCAACGTGTTAATCGACATCGTCAAAAAAAAAAGTCAGTTACTTAACAAATCAGCCGCATTGATGAAACGTTATGTATGATGTGGCTCTTCTTCTGGCTATAACGTCATCAATTCAACTAACATAAGATGGAAGGCACAGTCTTGTTTCTATGTTTTCTTTCCGGTCCTTGTGACAGCTGGCAGATTCTAAATTAAGGATATGTTCAGCTTATGTAAATCTAGCAGCTGTAACAAAGCAAATTAAAATATAGAAGTGAAAGTACTCTGTCAAAGTGACGTGTTTGAAAATGATCATTGATCAGCATCGAAATTTCATCTCTTTGGAAAATCATCATCAAAGTCTGTGTAGCTTTTCGTCAATTTTACAATGACAACAGAGGCTAAAAATTGCAAAATTACAAGTTAACTCCATTAGCAATTTCTTTGAACCACTTCTCATCCAAAGAGTACTTGATTTAATTATTTCCGTATGACTAAATTTCACCCCTGCTCCTTTTTATTTTCATATTCGTATAAACCGCCAAGGGTTTTGTTGAATTACTAGAACATCTCGAAGGCGTTCTGCAATTCATTTATTCCAAATTTCGAAACTAATATATGTTTTTCCAATATTTGATTCCATATTGTTAGATTGATTCAAGATAATGTAATGATTTTTGTGTTATTTTTAATGGACCAAAATCAAAAGGAATGTGTTGGGTGATATAGCTTTACGATTATTCCTGTTTAACAGTGAATTTGTTATTTGTTACGTTTTGTTGTATTTATAGAGGCATTTTTATTTTAATTCTCACTTTGCTTAATAAAACACAAGAGAATCGATGAGTTTTTTATATTCATCCCTTCTTTAAAGAGAGACAGCCCTCAGGGGCGCGACGATTTCCACTTCGGAAAGGTTAAAAAGTAGGATTTAGGTCAATATTAGTACAAAAAAATGGATTAATTTGTCAGAACGTTAAGGCAGCCCTCAGGTAGCCCATGTTTGGGGGGGGGGATGGGGGCCGCATATCGAATCCCGACCCTCCCTCCACCCGTCTTTCAGTTTCAACAAAACGAAAAATTAATGTGATTAATCTTTAAAACTTAAAGATATAGGTCACAAAAATAAAAAGTCGCATAGTATACATTAATTATAAATTTCTATCTTTCTCCATTTTAAAGTGGGAAGGAAGATTTTCTGGGCGTCGACTGTGATATGAAGCGTTATCTAGGACAATCACAGAATCAGGTTCTAATTTTAGTAATACTGCTTTGAACCAATCTCCAAAAACTTGTGCGTTCATATCTTCATGATAATCTCCAGTTCTTCGTGATTCGAAAACGCTCAATCCCCCATCGACAAAGCCACCAATATGAGTAATAATTAAACGACGACCCTTACCTATAGGGCGTTGAAAATCTGTACTTAATCCATCACGATACGCTTGTCTATGAGATAAGATGTTGATCTTCCCAAATTTTAGAAACTGTGTGACCTTCATTCAACCTTGTCTCATCCCAATAATAAATCTTCTGTCTTCCCATTACGCGAATACTACGTATTGTTTTCAGATATTCCCTGCGCCAGGTTACTATGTCATCCATTTCGATCAATACGCTATTCTTCTTCTTCAAATACCTGGTATTAATTTCTCGCGAAGGTCTTAGCAAAACGCGCTGGGATATTTTTGGTAGACTATCGTCGGTATTCAAAGCGTGCTGTAGTTTTTAAACGAGTACACCTTCCGACGGATTTAACGTCATCATTTAAAACCACTCGTCTACGACCCTGATTTCGCTTTTTTTGCTACCACACATTAAGTTTTTTCCCTTGTGATTCTGAAAATGGTAGATAATGATACCTTTGTCATATCGCTACAAAGTTGAATGATATCTCTTACTGGTTGCTCTGGAAATCGTGTTCGGAGTCCGTCATAAACACTTTTCACTATATTTCTTTGTCCAGAACATAAATTATGCGTTAATGGGGTAGACTATCCATTGCGTGGTGATCCATCTTTCGTAATCCGTGAATTTTCAACAGTTCCCAACCGCCGCAGCTGACTGAAGATAACGAGTAGAAAACGGTGTACGTGTGCTCCCTTTGCACGTCGGCAAAATGTGTGACGATGTTGCAGCGTCTTGAGGTACCACTTACATTTTAAGATTTGTACTATTATTTGCCCTTCGCATCCAGCCATAGTAAACCATAAAACGATAATATCAGTGATGTTTTTTTTTAATCACACTGTTTGCTGTTATTGTGCGCGTCTGACAGTACAGCGAGGAGATATTTATATTTCGCGCCAATTCTCACTGCACAATTTTGAATTGGATAGGGAAAGGGAAATTGGTTTTATACGTCTCTCTGGATAGAACGACTATCAATTACTTTTCAGTGACAAAGGATAATATAAGCAGTGTGCTTTAGATGCGGGTATCAAACACGATAAAACGTGATTTTGCAGAAATAACAGAGTTCTGCGTTGCCAGTATGAATAATGGTACGGATACAATAACCATATCAGTTGCGTGTTACTTCTGTCCTTTGAGTTCATGATTCTTTACAATTTATTGAATGATAGATTCTCATGTTTTACATCCACGGAATTGGTGAGGAAGTATTGTAATCCAAAAAATTTCGAAAATAAGATACTATGTTTTTGGATGTTATATGACATGCACATCATGAAAAGCCCTGTCACTCATTCCGTCGATCTACCTGCCGATCTGTCTGTCGGACTGTCCGCTAATCCTTGGTCCGTCTATAACTTGGAAATTACTGCTCGGAACTTGATGCAGTTCCCACACATGGTTACTACTGCGCCAAGGACGGAATAGTATTAGAGTTTTTGAACAAGTTCCAGAACATATTTTCGATGCACGTTACTGTTCTCATGTCGCTCATTAAATATTTCTGCTGTTCTATTAGCGCACTGATTATTTCCGAAAAATATTTCGATAATTTCAAGACTTTCTGCTGTGGAATATACCATGGTTAATTTATGTAATAAAGCGTTACAAGTTATTTTAGCAACAAAGTTTGATCAAACCAATCAAAACTATGTACTAAATTTCTATTTAAAATATGTACGAGATATTTCCTTATCTTTCTTCAAGAAATAACTTTTTTGCCTCAAACAGCTATTTTCAACAACAAAATGATAAACAAACCATGGGCGTAGTGAAGAAAAGCATTTACTTATTAAGTAAATTCTTTTAGTCAAATTGAAAGTAGTACAAACTAATCTGATGTACCTATTAAACTCTACTTGAAGCTGTAAATCAATAAATCTTCAAAACTACTGAACTGAATCTCATGTATTTTACAGCATTATAAAGGGAATTGAAAGACCTTTAAAATAAGGTATCACTCGACCCTCCTTTCCATTTAAGATTTTATGGTTGGTGTCACCCCCGCCCAGGGGGCTGCACGTGTTAACGTGATTTTTTGCCGAACTTGTGTCCCCCTCGAAAACAAAATCGACGGGTCTGAGCGTTTTTCCAAAAAAAAAAACCGAGCTGCTAGTAAATGCGTCTGTTTCGTTTTCGATGCGCCACCCTCTATATGGATTGTCCGTAAAATAAGTTCCACTGAGGTTTTACATAAAGAAAAACAAATTTATTTGCCTCATAATGTACATTTTTGAAAAGTTCAGACATTTTTCATTTTTCTACATAGTCACCATTTCGTTCGATGCATTTTTGCGGTCCCTATACCCACTTCTTGAAACCGGAGTCGAAGAACTCCGCAGCCTGGCAGCGTAGAAAGCCTAAAACCGCTTCTTACACCTCTTGATCGACCTGGAATTGGGTTCCACCTAAGTGCTCCTTCAACTTGGGGAAGAGATCGGAGTTACTGTTATTTTTGTTGCACTATAACGTAAACTCTATTGTTGACCGTTTTTAGACGGAATGCTTTAATTATTGCTATCATGTATAGCATCTTTTTCTCAATATTTACTTAATTATTTTGCGTCACCGAATAGCATACAATTTCTTTTGAAGAGAGTTAAAAAAAACACAATTCGTTTATCTCAACAGCTATTTATTTGACGTTATAATTTTTTGTAACAATTTCGTAATAGCAGTACTTTTAACTAATTTTATTTAAATAAATAACAAATAAGGTTGAATGTTATACAGTTTGTACAAAAATGTAGTGGCAAATCAAAAGTGCCTCTAAATACGACTAATTTTATTCACTAGATCACATTTCCAACTGACTTAGACATACAGTATTACCTTGAATAGTGTATGTTCACAGGCGCAAGCATTATTATTTGAGGGCAAGCATCATTTATGCTAATTACAAGATACAAAGGACCCCGCAAAGCTCTATCGAGCAATATTCTACTGCAAAGTTGAGCATTTCAAATGTAAGTAAGTGTGTAGGGTACCATTTTTTATTCGAGGGTGATGGTGGAGTGGACGTGCTATTATTCTGGGCAAATAATCAAAACTAGTAGTTTTGGATGTTGTTTTGTCTATAAAATTACCTGGCACGTCCTTTTCCATTAGGTTATTGCTATTTTATATCAGGCAGATTATATCATACGGTTTTTTGACCTTTTTACGTGAACTGCATTCAAAACTAGATTGAAATGACATTATTGTCACTGTTCACAGGCCCAACTGACTACCTTAGTACCATGCGCCATTAATGACGCGGTGTGTCTTTGTGTGCGTGTGCGCATATCAACCAAATCAAAGACATGTTAACTTAACAGTGACATGTAATTTGTCACGATATTCTGTTCCTGTTTGTTGTCTGACTATTAAGATTATACCATTATTTTTTGCATGCAGTTATATGAGGCAATAGGAAGTTATTGAACGTATAATCAGGTCAGGCACTAATAACTCCTGGTCGTATTTGACATCTGACCAGGCACAGTAAAACAAAAA